ATCTCATCTTTTTAAAGTATTTTATCATCATTATTTGGCATTATTGGAGTCTGAACTCAGAAGTCAGGGCTTTGTGATTGTTAGGCAAGTGTTCTACCACTGAGCCACATATCCAGCCCTTAGAGTATTATAAAAACAAAATAAACATCTCCTACACTAGTCCCTTTCCAGATCAACCTGCCCTCTTCCTTTGCAAGAAGTAATGTAGCTGGAGGATGCACCAGTACAGATGCTAGCAGTCTATACTGTGAACACCAGAGTGTAGATGACAGAAAAACAATAACAGACTGCTTCTTTGTGACATTATGTATTTTGTTGTTACTGCTGTCACCTATATATTGATGTGGGACTTTGTAGTTTCTTTCAAATGACCCAGGGAAATGGGAATATAAACTTATTAAAAGAGCGTGCCATGGTATACTGTTTGTACCCTCACAAAAATATGCCCAGAGAAGGCCAGAGGTCAGAAAGCCATGTGTTCCAACCTGTCATCTTACCTCTTCAGGGTTATAGTCCCTGAGGCCTCAGCTCTGAGGTGTGCCGGGAGTTGGATCAGACAGGAAGGAAGCTGGGACTGAGGGAACCAGGTGGGCAGTAAAGCTGGCCTCCGGTGAGCTGATCATAATATGTAAGCTGGTGTGGCAAACAGCATCCAGTACGAATGTCCCCACCTGGCAGATAGTACCAGGGAGCTTGAAGCAGAGCTTGGGGCATGCAGCCAGACGTGAAGGAAGCAGGCTGTGACACAAGCAAATGCTCTTTCTGACTCAACACCAACTGGTGCCATTCATGCCCTCTTTCCATTTGGAAGAAACAAAATGAGAACTGTAATAGAGTTCTCTGTTTGTAGCCCATGAGAGCAACTGAGCCATCTCTGAGTTATTTTTTTCTATAAGTTTTGTAAACTTGTCTTTTCTAAGTGCACTATTTTAGTGATTTGGGGAAATATTCATATCCCTAGGATCTTTTTCACATCAAGACAGTAGTAGGACTTCTATCTCAGATGACATTTCTTGAAAAGACTCACTTAAATATGGCTTAAAATATAACAAATATCTTTGGAAATGTATAGCTGAGCTTGTGTGTGGCGGGGAGTGGGGTGGTTGGTAGTAGAAGAGAGATCTGGAAGGACTATAAAAAGGAAAAGTAAAAACTGGCTGTGTCACTCACTCTTTCTTTACGTCCCTTGGGGAGGAGGTTGCTCACATCACAAACAGCCCACTGTGCAGAGAACTGGAATTGAGGGCTCTCCCTGAAGCTGCACCCTTCAGAGTGCCTCCCACCCCCCCCCCCGCCCACCTCAGCAAAGGTGTTAACTAGAATAAATTTATCCTTGAGCAATGGGAGACCCCTAAGAGGCTGGTCACCTCTGCTGGGGTTCCAGGTAGAGAAACCGTCTCTTCTGTGGAGCTTTCAGTTGCTGAACACAAGGGTTAGAAGGATGGTGCACCTGGAGAGCTCTGCACCCTTCCCACATGTCTTGCCCTGTACATCTCTTCCTGGTAGCTGTCCATCTGTCATTTGTGTACTTTGTAATATCTTTTGTGATAGACCACTAATTTTTTTTTTTGGTGGGACTGGAGTTTGAACTCAAGGCTTCATGCTTGCAAGGCAGGCACTCTACCACTTGAGCCACACCTCCCAATGCTTTTTGTTCTTTTTTTTTTTTTTTTTTTCGGAAAATGGAATCTCATGAATTATTTGCCAGGGCTGGCCTTGATCCATGATCCTCCCTATCTCAGCCTCCCAGGTAGCTAGGATTACAGGTGTGAGCCACTGGCACCCAGCTATCACTAAATATTTTTTAAAACACACAAAACCAAAAAATCTTCCCAGAACTCTTAATCTGGGATGGGTCCTCAGGCTAGTCTGAGAAATATTAGCCAAGATAGTAGTGTGCATGGTGTCAGGCAGGAGTAAATGTTAAAGATCTCTGAAAAACCATAATTGTGGCCTCCATAATGAATTTTGTATTAATTATACAATAAAAGATGTTTGTAATGAATTACATGACAATTGCATAATTGCATCAGAAAAGATATTTCACGATTGATTTTTGCTGTGCTAGGAATTGAACTCAGGACCCAAATGGTCTACCACTAAAGCCACATACCTACCCCAGAAAAGATATTTATTTATTATTTCGGTGGGACTGGGGCTTAAACTCAGGGCTTTGCACTTACAAAGCAGGCGCTCTACCACTTTAGCCACACCTCCAGTCCATTTTGCTGTGGTTGTTTTGGAGATGGAGTCTCATGAACTATTTGTCTGGTCTGGCCTTGAACAGCAATTTTTCTGATCTCAAACTTCCCAAATAGCTAGAATTACAGGCGTGAGCAGGCTCAGCAAAGATATTTTAAGTGGGTAAAGAAACAGAAAATGAGGGCTGGAGGAGTGGCTCAAGTGGTAGAGCACCTGCCTAGCAAGTGTGAGTACTGAGTTCAAATCTCAGTACTGCCAAAAAAAGAAAAGAAAAAAAAAAAAGAAAAGAAAGAGAAAATAAAACACCTGTTCATGATAAATCCAAAGGTTTCTGCAAACTAGCACAATTAATTGTTTACCTAGGGCATTGAAAACCAGGTCAATATATACAAATCAGTTATGTTTCTGTATGTGAATTAATTTCCAATGTCTGCTATAACAAATGACCACCAATTTAGTGGTTTAAAGCCACACAAAATGGCCAGGCACCAGTGGCTCCTGCCTATAATCCTAGCTACTCTGGAGGCAGAGATCAGGAGGACCATGATTCAAAGCCAGCCTGGGCAAATAGTTCAAGAGACCCTATCTTGAAAATACGCACCACAAAAAGGGTTGGTGGAATGGCTCAAGGTGAAGGCATTGAGTTCAAAACCCAGTACCGCAAAAAAAAAAAAAGCCACACACAAAGTTATTTTTTTTTAACTCCTGAGTTTGAATCAGGTCTAAAATCTAAAATCAAGGTGTTAGCAAGGTGGCATGCACATCTACAGGCTCTAGGAAAGAATCCATTTTTGCCTTTTCCAGTTTTTAAAGGCTGGGCCTATACCTTGGCTCACATCCCCTTTCACTGTCCAAGCCAGTCTTTCTCACGTTATGTCAGTCACTCTGACACTGATTCTTCTGCCTCTTTGGTGCACAATTTTTTTTCTTCAAGTTTCTTTGGTGCACATTTAAGGACCTTTATGGTTACATCAGGCCCACTCAGATTAGCCACAGTAATCTATTTTAAGGTCACTTGATTAGCAAGCTTAATTCCATCTGCAAGCCTTAATTTCCCCTTGTCTTATAATGTAACATTTTCTTCTGGTAAGAGTGTGTGTGTTAAACTCAGCACTTGCTAGGCAGACGCTCAATTACTTTAGCCATGACTCCAGCCCTTTTTGCTTTTACGTATTTTTCAGATAGGGTCTCAAGGTTTTGCCTGGAGCTAGCCTAAAACCAAAATCCTCCTACCTACTTGGTCTCTGTAACCCCTTGTAGCTGGGGTTACAGTGCGTACCACCATACCCATTTTGTTGGTTGAAATGAGGTCTCAATAACCTTTTTGGCTGGCCTCAAACCACAATCCTGTTGATCTCCACTTTCCAAGTAGCTGGGATTGCAGGTGTGAGCAACCATGTAACATAACATACAGGTTCTAGGGGTTAGAATATGTATGTCTTTGGGGTGGCATCATTAAGCTAGTCACAAGTTAACTATCATCAGATAATTTAAAAATATTTACAATAGCATCACAATATCAAATGCCTATGAATAAAATTAATTTAAAACATGTAAGACTTCTGTATTGAAAATGAGAACACATTGGGAAGAAAATTAAAGAACACTTAATGGACAGGTAGACCATGTTCATGGACTGGAAGACTCAGTACTTTAGGATATCACTTCTTCCCATGAATGATCTGTGATCAGGATAATCCCAATAAAAATTCCAACATGCCTTTTAGTAGAAATTGACAAGCTGATTCTAAAACTTGTATTGATAGGACTGGGGATCTAGCTCAGTTAAAATAGGTGCTCAGCACGCATAAGCCCTGCGTTCAATCCCCTGCACCAGAAATAAACAAAATTTATATTGAAGTGCAGAGGACTTGTAGTTGAAAAGATAACATTGAAAAAAAAAGAATGTGAAGGACTTACACTACCTGATTTCTAAATTTCCTAGAAAGCTACAGTAATTAAGACAATGTGATAGTGACAGAAGGATAGACAAGTAAGTAAATGAAATAAAATAGAAAAAAATTAGTCTAGTAATACACACTGTTGATTGAATTTGACAAATGTGCCAAAGCAAGTCAGGAAAGGGAAAGGTTTGCAGTCAGAAACTCTGGAGCAACTGAAGAAGTTGAGAAAAATGGAACTGAAAGCAGGGATAGGATTAAAGATAGAATTTTTAAAAGATTGGGATGGCTTGATAAGTGCTGGATGAGTTGGAAGGGCTCAGATGGAATAATGGAATACAATGTCACTTCCTTTTTTGGGGGTTAACTTCTGTGGGTTTTATAAAGCAGTGTCCCTCAACCCCCTCCACAGCCCTGTGAGGGGTAGGATGGGGCGGTAGGCAGAATTCTAACATGCCCCCAAGATTCCCACCCCCTGGTATACATGCGATGTATAACTCCCGCCCCTTGTGTGTGTGTGTAACCTGTGAATTTGATGGTATGGTTACTACCAAGATACACTATGTTGTACAAGGTGCCATCATAGCCTACTTGGAGGGGGTGGGTTGGAAGTCAGGCCAGGTGGCCTAGGGGAAAACAGACATCCACATTGTAAACTGCCTGTGGGGGACACATTCCAAAGAATTGCAGGTAGCCTTTAGGGACTGAGTAGTCTCAGCTGGCAGCTAGTAAGTAAACAGGGTCCTCCAAGCTCAAGCAAGTAAACTACCCACAGTGTAAAGGAGCTTGGAGGAGGCCTCCAGCCAGATGAGAAACACAGCTCCAGCCAGCACCCTGACAGTAGGTAGCCCGTGAGACCCGAGCAGAAAGTGCACATACGCCTGGCCCTCAGAAACGATGGCAGTGAGTGTCCACGGTTTTAAGCCAAATTTGTTACACAGCAGCAAAAATGTAATGCAGATGGCAAATCTGTCCAAGCTGCAAAGGTCATCCAGTTCTCATCCACTGAGGACTTATAAAGTCCATTTTGGGTAAAAGGAATCAACATTGCTCTGAGAAATTGACACAGTCACCTCCTGGACCCTGGAGCTAATCAACATTCAGAGTTAGACTAGAAGGTCACATTGTTCTCACAGAGGAACTCAGCTCTCCAAACTGGGTCTCTAGATTGGTGTTTGGAGCGTTGGAAACCTGGCCTTCGCTACACTGGTTTTGGCTATGAAGCAAGCCTACAGCCAGGTGCCCTTGGAATTCATTCCAAGGACATCGGGTGAATTCTGCCCTGATTTTCTGGGCACATGATGATTGATGGATGAGAACCTGGGCTTCATGCTCCGGACCTAAGCGGTGTTGAGTGTGGGGGTTTGAGCAGTAAGCTGGGCCAGGAAGGCAGATGGGCACGCAAAACCCGTTACTTTATTTTCCTTTGCAGAATCAAAATTACAAGGGCCATGGACTGCCAAAGGGGAAAGAGCGGTGAGTGGTCCCACTCAATACATAAACACAGGACTTCCTTCCTTCCTCCCTCCCTCCCTACCTCTCTCCTTCCCTCCCTCCCTCCCTCCCTCCCACCCAAGTTGATGTGGAGGTGATCCCAGAGAGAGGTGCCTTACTGACAGGCTGTCACTGAAGGCACGTGAGCTCCATGCCACTGCAGACTTCTCCCAGTGATGAGAGAGCTAGAACATCTATCCCCTCACTCCATTAGCTGTGTGCTGTACAGGGAGGAGCAGGTGACTTTCTGTCCTTCAGTTCTGCTCCAAGTCCAAACTGAGCATGTCTGGAACCAGAGAGCCCTGGGGAGAGAGAGGTACAGGTGCTGGTGGTGGAAAGCCCTCTGATTGGTGTGCACACAAATGGAGAATACCCAAGGGGTGTGGGCAGACCCCCAACAGTGCATGCTACAGGTTGTGTGCACAGAAAATATTAGCAATTACAGATGAACATCCATGTATATGTGTTTCCTAGTGCACTGGCAGGTATATACCTAGGTGGAATTGCTGAGCTCAGGGTACATGCACATTCAACTTTATTAAAAAAAACCCATGTGGCGCTTCCAACGTGCGTTCTAACAATAAAGGAGGAATTTCTACTTTACTTTGGTGTTGTCCAAACTTGGACTTTCAGGTTTTTACCAGTCCAATAAGTATGACATGGTACCTGATTGTTTGAAGATGCAAGTTCCTCTCCCAAGGTTTATGCAGTCTACACTCTCATCAGCACTAGAGGATAATTATCATTTTCCCACATTCTTATGAACATTTGGTATTTGTCTGATGTTTAACATATTCTCCATTTTAATGGATTTTGAAATCGTATGTCTTTGTAGTTTTGGATTGAGTTTTTTCTTTTTTTTAGTATCCCACTTGTTCTACCCTACTGATTTTTAACTAAAGCTCTTTAATTGATTGATTGATTAGTTTGTTTTTGTTTTTTTTAGATGGGTTTCACTAGGTAGCCCAGGCTGGCCTCAAATTCACCATCCTTCTGCCTTAGCCTCCTTAGTGCTGGGATTACAAGTATGAACCACATGCCTGGCTTCTTATTTTGTTTGTTTGATTATATTTTTTTGAGATAGAGTCTTGCTATGGAGCCCAGGCTGGTCTCAAACTCACTGTGTATCCCAGACTAGCCTTGAGGTCACAGTCCTCCTGCTTCCACCCCCCAAGTGCTGGAAGTACAAGCATACACCACCATGCCATGCTTTTCTTATTTTTGAATGTTTACTTGAATGTTTCTCAAAATTTGATCCCTTTACAAATTAAAAATTATTGTGGGTCCCAATTAACTTATGTGGCTTATATCTATCAATATTTATCATATTAGAATTATAAATTGATAAAAATTTTAAATACTCATTTCTTTAAAAAGCAATACTATACTTCTAAAATGGTAGCATAAATAACATATTTTATGTATTGTAACTATATTTTCCACCCCAAGTTTACTGACAAGACATAATTGTATGTCGTAGTATAATTTTTGCTTCCACATTCATTGATAGTACACAGAGTTCCAGTTGACTTTTATCTGTTTGTCACTTACCCTGTGACTGCGTTGTACTCATCTCTTAGTTCAGGACTTTAGTTCCTTGGGAGTTTTTACAGAGTCATCTCCAAAAATGGACAGTTTTCTTTTTCCTTTCTGGTCTGTATCCCTTTTATTTTCTTTTACTGTACTGACTATCGCTTCCAACACCATGTGGAGTAAGTGGCAGAGCGGACGTCTTTGCTTTCTTCTGCATATCTGGGGAAAAAAATAGTCTTTGCCATTGCTCATAATGGGAGCCAGAGGTTCTTTCAATGCTCTTTATCACACTAGGGAGGTTTCTCCCTGAGAGGCTTTTTTTTTTTTTTTTTTTTTTGTGGTAGGACTGGGATTTGAACTTAGGGCTTCAGGCTTACAAAGCAGTTGGTCTACTGCTTCAGTCACGCCTCCAGTCCATTTTGCTCTGGTTATTTTTTGGAGATGGGAGGTCTCACAGACTATTTGCCCAGACTGGTCACAATCCTTCTGATTTTAGCCTCCCAGGCATGATTCATAAATGATTGTTTTTTCTACATCAGTTGATAGATCATGTGATTTTTTTGGGGGGGTCTGTGCCCATTGGCATTTCTGGATGTCAAAAAGCAAACCCAGGGAATTCACCACTATGTCCCCTTTGGTCCTTTTCTTTAATCTGTTAAGACAAAGGATTCCAATGATTGATTTTGTAATATTGTACCAGCCTTGCCTATTTGGAGGAAAAAAATCCCTCTATTTGGCTATCGTATGCAATTCTTTTTATATATTGCTGAATATTATTTGCTGATATTTGTTTGTTTGTTTGTTTCCTCCCTTTTCTGGAAGATATTGTGAAGAACTGGGGTTGATTCTTACCTAAACATTTTGGAGAATTCTGCAGTGAAACCCTCTGACCCTGGAGATGTATTTTTTGAAAGTTTTCAAATTATGAATTCACTTTCTTTCATAGCTACGAACTATTCAAATGATCTGTTTCATCCTGGGGAAGCCCACATCATCCTACTGTCACCTGCATGTCTGCAGAGTCTGTAGGAACAGCCCTTTTCATTTGTCCTGTAGGTGATTGTCTTCTCTCTTCTTTGTCAGTCTTGCTGACGAGTAGGTTTGTCAGTCTTATTGATCTTTCCCAAGGACTGGCCTTTCATTGTATTGATTTTTTTCTATTTTCTGTTTTCAATGTTACTGATTTCTAACTCTTCCCTGGGCCTTCTTTGACCTCCCCCTGGAACTGAGGGGACACCTCATGACTGTGGGTGGATGGGGATGTCCAGCTTTCCTATTTAGCCTCCAGTGATATGGGGGGGCAGGTAGAAGCAAGGATGAAAGCACAGCCTTGTTTTATCTTTCACCTTCTCTGACAACACCCCAGCAGCAGTGTTGGGGTATCTTGTTACAACATCCTGGGAAGTTTAGACTCTGCACTTGGCCTTTGCTGGCATAAGTGGAGGTGAGCTACAGATGTTTGCAGTTGTTATCTGTCTTCTGTCCTGCTAGGCTGCTCTTTAGGTCCTTTGCCTGGAGAGAGCAGGGTATTTGTGAAGCTTTTTTGGGGGGGTCTGTGCCCATTAGTATTTCTGGATGCCCATTGGTTGCCTTCTTAGTCTCCACATCTGGGAAATATGAGGCAAAAAAACAAACTAGAGAGTTCATCACCATGTCGCTTTTGGTCTTGAGGTCCCTAGTTAGTCTGCCTTTTTGTCTACCTTTAAGTCTTCTTAAGTTTCTTTTTGTTTTGTTTTGTTTTGTTTTGTTTTACTGGCATTTGAACTCAGCTTTGTGTTTGCAAAGCGGGCACTCTACTGTTTGAAACATGCCTCTAGGCCTTAAATAATCTAACTAGATTATTAAGAAGGATGGAAAAAGTTTGTCCCATCTTCCCAGATGAATGCCAGGAAAGGGGGTTTGTAAACACTTATTATATGATAAAAGAATTAGTCATGGTGGGGTCAGGGGCGTGGCTCAAGTGCAAGCCTAGCAAGTACAAGGCCTTGAGTTCAAACCCCAGTACTGTCAAAAAAAAAAATTAGTCATGGCACATGTAAAGCAGGCAGACTATGCCTGGCACATAGTAGGCACTGGAAAAATGCTTATTTTCCAACAATTCAAAGATTCTGTGATTCTCAATTTGATTGTTTTAAGTGTTGTCATACTATGATACTAAGTTCTGAAATTCAGTAATTCTGTCTCCGGCATTTCCAAGTGTGGCACTTAACTGTTCTTCCTCCCTCATTCTCCTGTCCCTGGGCCATCCTAGGAAAATGACTGATCCTGAGCAAGTGTTCTATTGCCTTATTTTGCAGAGAGCAAAGAGCATTGATCCGGTTCAAGACCACTCTTATGAATACTCTCATGGATGTCCTTCGCCACAGGCCAGGATGGGTGGAAGTGAAAGAGTAAGGCCTGCCCCCTCCCCCAACTCTGTCTCCCTTTGTTATTCTTCCAGTTCCCCTGGGACTGTGGTATTTATTTAGCACCCACAGTGTGTTAGATGCATCACTGACACCATCTCCATCATATGAAAGCCTCACAACCATCATGTAGGATATATATCTTCAGAGGTACTGACCCCAGTCAGTCACTTAAGGTCACACAGCAGATAAGTATGAGCATGGGATTTCAGCCTGGTTCAGTTTGACTATTGCCAGTGTCCTGTGGCTCTCAGTAGAAAAGAGGAGTGGAACCACACAAACCTGCTGGCCGGAATCCTCCAGGAATGGACCTAGGTCAAGGACTGCTCTTTGCCACTTATGAGCCCATGACCTAGAATAAGTGACTTGCCCTGTAGGTCTACATTTCTTTTGTGCTGGGCTCTAAGGACAGCGACAGAGACAACAAAGACAAAAATCCTGGCACACAGTAGGTACTGATGTCAGTGAGAGATAAGGCTTGGATGCACATTAACAGAGGCCCAAGAGCAGGACGTTAGGGATAGGAAGGGAGCACCTCAGAAGTTTGGAACCTGTCCACTTCCATCTGTCCATTCTGCTGCCCTCTGAGCAAGACCCTCATCCTCAGGGTCCAAGCTAGAGCATCAGTCCTGCTTTCACACTGAAAATAGCAATAGCTAGGAAGGAGGCAAGGTAAGGTGAGCCCTTCCCTGGAAGGACACAAACCAAAGTCGCTCACATCTCACTTGGCAGAACTTAGCTTTGTGGGCACACCTACCAGCAAAGAGATCTAAAAAATGTGTGCCGTATTTCCCAGGTTAAAACAGAGAATTCTGCTTCTGTAGACAGAGGGAGAATAGATCTGAGGGGTACAGGATCAACAGCCGCATGTGACACTGCACTTGTTTTGCTAGCTAAGCTGGCTGGACACTCTGTAGCACTGTAGTCTCTCTTAACCATCCCAAAGAATCTTCCAGTTAGGTGTCATTGTCACCCCCACTTCACTAATGGGAAACATGGTTACAAAGTAATGAAAATGACATGCTTGAGTCCCTCAACTGGAAGAGCCTTGGACCAGGATTTGTACCTTGTCTCCTGTCTGCAGTCACCGGTGTGTCTCCACCCCATTCTGTCAGCTTCTTAGAGAGCGAAGGGACAAATGAGTGCATGCCATGAGCCCTGGTGCTGCAGTCGGCAGGGGAGAAAGACTGTAACCAAATCATCTCACAAGAAGTTAGGAGTCACTTGTCCATGGCCACCTGCCGTCCAACAGACCAAGACAGCAGAGGCCTCTCTTTGGGACTTTGGGGACTATCGTGGCAATGGTTACTGGTGTTGATGGTGGCAGCTATCAACATCAGTAGATAGGCATGGATTTGCCTCCTTGGGTGTCTCATGGTTGTGGTGGTATCAGAATGGGATTTCTATCCTTGGAGCCAGGGGAACTGATGTAATGAAAGACAAGATGGAGGAGTTAGGGCACATGGCAAGATAGGAAGGAGGGGAACATGGGGACTGGCCTGGGAAAGGGCACTATCCCCACCAGCTGGGAGACCTCAGGCCCCTCCCTGCCCCTCTTCAGCCTCTGCTCAGTGGTCAGGAGGAATGGGGGCTCTGAAGGCTTGTTTGGGCTGACAGCATGGGAGTCACATTGCCTTAAGAATTCTCAAATCAGGAAGGGCCCACAAGCCAGGGCCTTTCCACCAGACACAGCTGAATGAATCCAAGGCCTCATCTTTGGAGTCTGGTATTTCCAAACAGAATCAAGTCTCATTGCAGACAGTCAGCCTGCCAGGCCAGACTTTAGAGCAGATATGACCAGAGGTGTCCTTTTCCCGACTTCCCACTGAGAAAGCCGATGGGAAGCCTGGAATTGCAGCAACCTTGGGAGCCTGAGGGGATGAGCCTCGGGACCCACATTAGGGTAGGAAGGTAGAAGGAAACTGGATCCCCAGTGGCTTTGTGAAGCCATTTAATATCTTCTGCTGCAATTGAAGAGCAACTCAACTGTGGCAGTTCTGACAGTGGCATGCCAATGAACTTTCAGCCTCAGAGACAACCCTGCTCCACACTGTCCACAAGGCCCTGCCCAGTTCTTCAGCATCAGCTCTGACTTCTTTCCTCCCACCTGGGCTTTTCTTCACATCCTTGAGTGTACTTTCCAACCTCAGGACAACCCTCTCCCTCTGCAAGAACCCTCTCCCACTGTTCTTGACCTGGCTGGCCTCCTCACTCTTCACATGACCTCTTCCCAATGTGGGTGCCTCAGCTACAACCCCACCAGGACCTCTACAGGATTATTCTGTGCTATATGTCACAATTCCTCATTGTAGAATTACTTATGTCCTTGTTTGTTTTTTCATCTTCCACATGGAACTGTATTCCACATCTGGCCAGGTGTTTTGTTGCATCCTGTATCATTGGCACCTAGCATGCCAAAAAGTATAAATTTAGCGTAAAACTGTAAAGATGCTGCGTGGAGGTGATGCATACCAAATTTGAGCTAATACTTTCCTTTGGGGCGGGAGAGGCGATAGGCTCAGGCAGGGATGTACCAGGGGCTTCACTTATAGCTGCAATTGTCCACTTTAAAAAATTGGTAGCAGGACTGGGCTGTAACTCAGTGGTAGAGCACTTGCCTAGCATGCACAAGGACCTTGGTTGAACCCCAGCAGTGAAAGAAAGAAAGAAAGGAAGGAAGAAGGAAGGAAGGAAGGAAGGAAGGATGAAAGGAAGGAAGGAAATTTTTAAAAAGGCTTCATTATTTAAGCTAAGCATAGTGGTACATGCCTATAATCCCTCCACTCAAGAATCTAAGGCAGGAGGATCTCAAGTTCTGGGCTAGCCTGGGCTACAAAGTAAGATACTGTTTCAACAACCACAACAATTGGAAGTCATCCTGAGGTGTTTTATTTCCTGTCACATCTTTTTTGAACACCCCAGTTCCCAGCACCCCAGCTCTGCTCCCCAGATTTAGTAGTTACCTGCTCTCTCTCTCCCCTTGGCATGTTGGTAAAGAATGGAGTCAGAATTTGGAGTCTGGCGGAGCGGGGTGTGTGAGTCCTGATGGCCCCGTGTCCTTGGTGAGCAAGGCCATTGTGCCTTAGAGCTCTGGGGATGACTGTTGTCACCTCTCAGCCACTCTGAAGACTGAATGAGAGGGGACTTTGTGAGCAGCAAAGATGACCCAGTCCCAACCCTGGATAGTGCAGGCTGCAGAGGGGGCAATGGCTGCCCTGGGGCCCAGGCAGGTAGCATGGACAGGTGTCTCCCATGCCATAGGGCACGGTGGGGACCGTGGTCTGGAGGATGTGCGCTCCATTTGCTGATAGGCGCCAGGAGGCACTTGGCTCAGTGTGGCCAGATCTGGAGGTTCAGGGAAGCCAGTGACTATAGCTAGCACACAAGGCCATCTTCTAGACAGTCCTGATGGACACAGGGCCATGGACCCTTCCTCAAGGCCTCTCAGTCGCACCTGCCTAGGCCCCATGCCCCCACTGCTAAGGGCCTCAGAACATGACCTTTGTCCCCCACACCCCAGCGAAGGGGAGTGGGATTTCTACTGGTGTGACGTCAGCTGGCTCCGGGAGAACTTTGACCATACCTACATGGATGAGCACGTGCGCATCAGCCACTTCCGGAACCACTATGAGGTGAGTGGGCAACTGATCTAAACTTGCTCAGCCTCAGTTTCCCGGCTTGTGAACTGGGGATAATTCCAGCCGAGCGGGCTCTCCACTGCTCTGTCTCACTGCTGTGCTGTGGGCCTGAGAAAGGGCAGGGACTGTAAGGGGAGGTGGGCAGGTCATGGGGCAGGAGCTCATACCCTGCCTATGCTGTCACCCAGCTGACCCGTAAGAACTACATGGTGAAGAACCTGAAGCGGTTCCGGAAACAGCTGGAGCGGGAGGCGGGGAAGCTGGAGGCGGCCAAGTGCGACTTCTTCCCCAAAACCTTTGAGATGCCCTGTGAGTACCACCTGTTCGTGGAGGAGTTCCGCAAAAACCCAGGAATCACCTGGATCATGAAGCCTGTGAGTGCAGCTTCAGGGGCAGGGGATTGGGGAGGTGGGGGAGGTGGCCCAGGCACCAGCAGCAACCCTTCACCGCATAGAGGGACCCACTCGGCCTGGACATTCAGCCTGGGTGCCCCTTGTGCCTCCCCTGAATGGGCTGGCTTTTAGCACCTCTTCCTCAGTGCATGGACCCAGTCATAAGTGGGTCACACTTGGTGCTCAATAAGTGTTTATTGACTGCACAAAGGATCCTCAAGAGCCAAGTTCTTTACTGTGTACAACAGCCCTTAGGTGGGGTCACCAGCCCCATTTTAAAGATGAAGAGCCTGAGGCCTGTTTCTTCCAAGGTGCTTACTAAGTGCTGCCATGTGTTAGGCACTGACCTAGGCACTGGTATATGGCTCCTGGCAGATCAGTTGTGGTCTCTGACACCCTCGAGAGCAGAGAGTAAACCAACTGAGGTACAAGGGCTGACAAGGCGATCTACCCAGCCATTTGGCAGTACTGAAACTTGAACTCAGGGCCTCAGGCTTGCTATGAAGGTGCTCTACTACTTGAGCCATGCCTCCAGCCCAAAGTACTTTTTTTTTTTTTGGCATAGTGGGGTTTGAACTCAATTGCTCTACCACTTGAGCCACTCATCCATCCCTATGCTAGGCAGGCATCTTGGAAGAAGAGACTGGGCTCTGAGAACAAATCCTTTGGCTCAAATATTAGCTGTATCGCTTGTTAGCTGTGTGATCTCAGGCAGGTTACTCAACTTCTCTGTGCCCCAGTTACCCACGTGCAAACTACCTATAGTACCTATCAAATAGTTTTGTGAACTGAATAAGTTTATGCAGATAATACACATAACCAGTGCTCAATAAATAATAATTGTGGTGATTATAAGGATTAGTATTGGCTTTGACTTGAAGGATGCCTAGGAGTCAGCCTGGGAAACAGTGGAGGTAGGGAAGAGCATTCCTGGGAGAGGGAACTGCGTGTGCAAAGGCTCTGTCTCAGAAAATAGCCCCTCAGGGATCAAGAAACAAAGTGAAAGTCCAGGCATGGTGGTTCATTCCTGTAATCCCAGCACTCCAGAGGCTAAGGCAGGAGGATCAAGAGTTTGAGGCCAGCCTGGGCTACATAGTGAGATCTGTCTCAAAAAATCAAACCAAACCACCACCAACAAAAAGAAATGGAATGGAAGGCTGAGTGGAGTGATGCATGCCTGTAATCCCAGCACTCAGGAGGCTGAGGCAAGAGGATGGTGAGTTCCAGGATAGCCTGTGCTACATCGTGAGACCTTGTGAAAAAGGGAGAAAGGGAGGGTGGGTGGAGGGCAAGATTGACAGAACACCTCGATTCTCGTGCCAGGGTGCTCTCTGACCACAGAACCATGTGCCACCCTAGCCTGAAGGGCATGATCAAAGTCCTCTTATGTTTTCTGGGCCTGAGAAGGTGCCAGGCCCCAGGAAGGGGATTGGGTGCAGGGTAGGAGGGCACAGTCTTCTTTGTGGAGCTGAAGAGGGGGCCTGAGAATGACTGACAGATGTAGCGGATTAGCACAGGAACCTGGAGGGGGAACCTAGGCAGGGCAGGGTAGAAGAGAATGCACAGTGAGGGGCGGGGGAATGTCCCCTGGCAACCTGGTTCTTTCCCTGTCCCTCTTCCCACCTCCTGCCATGTCCTGGGAAGTGGCAGTGAAGAGTCTGGCTGGAGCAGCAGGGATGAGCAGATGAGCACTGTGACCCACCAGGGGGCGGGTTCCAGCTCTCACCATTATCCTCTCAGACAAATGATAATCTGTGCTAATTAGGAACGAGCGATTGCATATTAAGTTGATTCCTTTCCCAGCCCACGGCCTTTGTTAGCGGCAGACACCACGACAGCTGTAATTAAGAGGAAGGATCTTAGCTTCTGCGTGGGTGCCTTGCTTGCCTTTATCCCTAATAGCGGAGGCCGTGAGAGCAGGAGTGTGTTTGTAGTCGGCACAGCCTGGGCGCTAATGCTGTGCCCTCCACTTGCCAGCTGTGTGACCCTGGCCAAGTCTGTGTCCATTCCTCCTCTGTAAGCTGGATCGCGTAGCCCTGCCTTATCAGGGTTAGGCGTGTACAAGTTATGTCAAGGGCTTGCCATAACTGCCCAGTGATTTGACTGCTTTTCTTAGTATGTCCAAGAGTCCAGAGGGAGTCCAGAGGACACCCTCCCTTCTCCCTGACCCTAGGAAGCAGCCCTTCCTTCCTGTTTCCTTCCTTCCTTCCTTCCTTCCTTCCTTTCAGCAGTACTGGGTTTGAACTCAGGGCCTCATGCTTGCTTGGCAGGCGCTCTAGCCCTGGAGCCGCCCTCCAGTTGGAGCGTATTCTTAAATTTGAACGTGCCTGAGCATCATCTGGAGGTCTGGTTAAAAGGCAGGGCCCACTCAGCAGATCTGGACTGGGCCTGAGCAGTGTGGTCTAACCAGCCCCAGGAACGTTATTACCACTGGTCCCTGGGCCAGGAGGACACTTGGAGTGTTATGTTGGAGAGCAGCAGTCCCAACCCTGGCAGAGCATGGTACAGCACCCAGTTTTTGTCCTCTGCTGGCTGGATGAGGCTGCCCATGTTAGTTAGGGCCATATCCTCTGCTTAAAGGTATTGGCTTTAGATGTTAATCACACCTACAGAATTCCTTCAGAGCAACATCTGGACTCATGTTTGACTAACAGCTGGGCCCCAGAACGTGGCCTAGCTGTCACATGAAGTAAGCTGTCACACAGATCATGAGTGTGCTCCTGCTTGTTACCACGCTTCCAGAACCAGCGGGCTAGCATGTTGGTCCTACAGTCTTATTATTTGGATTCCTTTGGGGAGAAGGGAGTGTATAAAAGTGGAACATGAAATTTGGCAAACAGGGGGAAAGTCCCCCAAATACCTCCACTCTTCCCATAAGGCCTGTCCTTGTGACCTGGTGGTCCTTGTCACATCATTGCTGTGGCTGGGCCAGTTATGGGGCACCCTTTCTCCTGAGTTCATTTTCCTCTGCAGTGGGAGCAGAGCAGCTCAGGAAGGGGTTGTCTCCTCAGTGTCCCTCGCTGAAGACCTCTTCTCGTGGGCTGAACCCCCGTCCATCCCCCCACTGTGCTATCATTCTTGAGGAAAATAAGAGCTCCTTCTTGGGTTTAGCCACTGAAAATCCAGTCTAGGGCCCTGGGGCATGGTTCAATGGTAGAATGCTTGCCTAGCATGTACAAGGCCCTGGGTTCAGTCACCAGCACCACAAGAAAAAAGTCCAGTCTATTATGAAAATCGCATCCACTGAGCTTCCTTCCCTCCCTGCAGCTCAGGCCTGCCAGGGCAGAGAGGAATTGGCAAGGCACAGACCCAGGGACCACCCTGGCCCCTCACTCCTGGAGCTGGGCAACAGGTGCTGGATGGTCAGGGGCTGTCCTGACTGTCTGTCTGGATCCACCAAGCTGGTCCAACCCTTCATGCAAGGTCCTGGATGACCTTGACTGTTACACATTCTAGGGCCTTCCTTACAAATTGCCATCAGGAAAACCCACATGGAACATTCAGTTAGGCCACTGTGCCCCAACCAAAGCATCCTGAACTTTTTCACCGAATCCTTCTGAGAGCTGGGTGCTTGGCCAGTAAATAATAGAAAACACACCAGGTGAAGCAAGAGGCAAGGGCTCCTGAACTGTCCTTATGCCATGTTTGTATGTGAGGTGTGCCAACCACGTCACAGAATAATGCTTTATTTAAAACCAATTTATTAAGATATAATTGACATACAAAAGCTGTACATATTTAAACTATACAATTAATGAATTTGGAGATAAATATACATCCATGAATGAATGGTGGTTTTCAAAGACTAAAGTATAATTGATTATAAAAGAAAGCAACTATTTTGAAAGACAGTTATAAAATGGTGTTAGCCTGGGTCCTCCAAGAAATAGATGCTAAGAAAGATGAAACATGCCCGAGTTCTTGCCTGTGAGAGAAAATGGGAAGGGAGCCAGGAGAGGCAGGGAGAGTTGTAGGACCTCACTAGAGGGAGGGAATTTAGGAAGGAGGAGGAAGGAAAGAGAGGAAGGAAGACAAGGGGAGGATAGATGGAGAAAGGTTGGGTGAAGGTCCCTACTGCTCTGCAATCTGACCAGACCAAGGGGGCTCTGTGCTGTCAGAGGGTCTCCTGTCTCAGGAATGGGTCCGTATCCTCTCCCTGCAGAGCTCACTGGCTGGGACAGCCCTGGCAGGAAGCCTGGCAAGGCATGGGTCCCAGCACAGCTCAGCAAGTAGCAGCTGGATTACTCTCCTGCAGCTGGAGGCCTGGGAGGTGCATTCTCACGGCTGCCACACATGCTGTTAAAACTCTGTGTGCTGTAGTAATGTATGTGCTTTTCATGAACTATTAAAGGGTGTAACAGCAGGCTCCCTCACTACCATAATTTCCAAAGTCATAAGCTGCATAAATACTATTTTGAGATCTCTGCAACAATTGTAATGGGATATAAAAAGAACTGTCATTTCTTCTGATGGCAAAGTCATTGTTGCCTGCACTCATCACAGAAGGAAATGCAAAAATCTAGTTAGGAGTTAGTGAAAATAAAGATGAAAAAAATTTTCTCACTCAAGTTTATATACCCTGGGGAATTTCTTTTAATAAGAACAGTTGACCAAGGCATTTTTTTTTGGGGGGTGGCTCAACAATACCACCAATTCCCAGCCCAGCAGGCAGGCTGCTCCTCTCAGTCACAATATGGCTGCTGCAGCTCTAACTTCACCTCCTTATATCTCTACCTGTCATAGAAATAAAAGAATGCCCTAGTTTTGTGTTACTTTAAAAGAAGACACAAACTTTTCCTATCAGTCCCTGCAGCAGACTTCCCCTGGTATCCTGCAGGTCAACTGGCATCCTGAGCCAATCACAAGGCAGAAGCATGGGTCCATCATGAGGGCTCAGACCTCCCCAGAGGGCAAGGCCACAGGAAGGGCTGATCCAGATGCATTCTGATGGGTGGGAAGAAGAGGAATGGCTGTGTGAGAGACAACCAATGGACTGCGTTCAACACCTGAGGAACAGTCACCAATGATGTTACATGACAAATGTGGTCCCCAGGGACATGGCAGGGTTGACAAGAGGACAGGGAATGCGAGTGGCCAAAGCTGGTTAAAAAAAAAAATCAAACTTATGGTTCATTCTAATAATCCATTCAAAAATTGTTTGCCAAAAAATTTGTTTATTTTTGCAGTACTGAGGTGTTGAACTCAGGGCCTCACACCTGCTAGGCAGAAGCTCTACCACTTGAGCCACTCCCCCAGCCCTTGCCTTCATGCTTCAACGAGGCAATGTACGGCTGTTGGGCCTGTCCAGGCATAAACCTGTGCTGAGCAGTAGCTGCTGGCTTCATCATGGTTAGGACGCGTTCTCTGACAGTTAGTGCTGGGTAACAAGCCACCCAGAGGGAGCCACCTAAAACAGCCATCATGTCTTCTTTTTAGCTCACTAGCCTCCAGCGTGGGCAGCTGGCCAGCACAGACTCACCTGTGCTCCAGCACCCTGGGGTCCTTTGCTGAGGGCAGGGGGCCGCCCCCCAAGCTGGCTCATGCACTCAGCTGGCAGTTGGTGCTGGCTGTTGGCTGGGAGCTCCACATCTTCCATGGGACCTGGGCTTCCTGACAGCATGGCGCAGGGGTCCCAGGGCCACCATCTTGAGAGACAGCTGGCAGAGCTGTGTTTCCTTTCACGAGCCACAGTGGAATTCAGAGAACTTCACTTTGGCTGCACACAATCAGTGTAGACAGCCCTGAAGTCTCGCCCAGATTCTAGGGGAGGGGACGCTGACTTCACCTCTTGATTGCATTCTTGAGCCCATATGGGACTGGAGATACTGTGGTGATTGGCTGGGGAAACCGCCATCTGCCAGAGCTCTCACGATGTGCCATCCCACCCCTGAGCTGTTGCTGTGCAGAAGGTCATTTGTCATCCTGGGGCCTGCCCCCTTAGAAGGGCACCTCTAGAACAGGGATGGGGAGTTACTAAAAATGGTTTAAAGACCTTTCATCATCTCACATGGAAGAAAGCTGGAGGTTGGCAGTTCTAGGTTGGAAGAGGCGCTCCACGATGCCATTACAGTCCCAGGCTCCTTCTTGTCTGCTCTGTGTTCTTGGTGTGCTGGGCTTTTTTTTTTTTTGACATCACCTCTGCAGGCAGTAGCATTGAAAGAAAGAAGGAAGGTACTAGACATTCTTCCATGTCTCTGTCTCTCTGTCACTCCATCTCTCTTCCCTTTCCATTCTCCCATCTCCCTCCCTCCCTCCCTCCCTCCCCAATATTGCTAATATGGAGGAAGAGCTTTCAGCCTCGCCAAGTGGATGTCTTCTTAGAGCTTATTGGGCAAAATTGATCACATGATTTCCACCAATTGAAGGGAAGATGGAAAAACCAGTATCTAGCCTTTCCAGCCCCCCTTATGAGAGGTGGGTTTTGCTAGAAAGAAAAGAGAAGAAGGGGAATGGCTACAGAGAAGCAACCAGAGTGGGGGGGGAGGGTTCTGAGAGAAAACCTTAAAAGATACTTTTTAATTGAAGTTAAATAAAACATTTAAAAGTGCCCAAGTTGAGCCAGGTAGGGTGGCTCAAGCTTGTAATGCTAGCTACTCAGAAGGCAGAGATTGGGAAGATAGCCGTTTGAGGCCAGCTCTGGCAAAAAAGTTCAAGACCCCATCTCAAACAGTGGTTGGGCACGGTGGCTCATGCCTGTTATCCCAGCTATGTGGGGAAGCATGAATAGTAGGAACACAGTCCAGGTCATCCTGGGCATAAATGCAAGACCCTATTCAAAAAAATAACTAAAGCAAAAAGGACTGGACGCATGTCTCAAATGGTAGCGCCCCTGCCCAAAAGGCCCTAAATTCAATCCCCAATACTGTTAAAAAAAAAAAATAGTGGTACAAGCCTGTAATCCCAGCTACTCAAAAATCAGAGGTAGGAGGTTATGGTATGAATTTTCATAGAGTAGACACACCCTAGCACCCAGATCATCGGCAGACCATTACTGCCCCCTCCACCCCTCAGACCCCTTCTTATAAGCCACCAGCAGCATGATGTCTTTGGTTTGATACGGGGCTTTGTATAGTTCACAGACACTGACCCATGCGTCTAAGTTTCTTCCTTCCACATGATGATCTGTGGAAGGATAGAACTGTAAATTGTTATTTGTTGCTGTATACTATTCCATTAAATAAATATCCATTCATCGGGAGCCTCGAGGTTGGAGCTGTTATGAGTAGTGCTGCGTGAATGTCCCGTCTGTGACCCTGAATGCACATTTTCTGTCATGTTTGTACTTGGGGGAGGAGCTATGGAGGGTAGTAATGCCGCCACTCAGCTTCCCAACAGTGTGTACTCCCAGCCTCCGGGTGTAGGAGCTGCAGGTTCTCCACACCCTCACCAGCACTTGCTACTCCCTGTCTTTAACCGGAGCCATTCTCTGGGCGTGTGTGACTGTGATTTTCATTTGCGCCTCAGCAGTGACTAACACAGTTGAGGACCTGTTTGCATTGGGTGGTTCTTCTAGTCTTTTGCAAGACCGTGGCCTGATAGAAACCTTTGATTAATTGCTTTCCAAAAATTACTGGGCACATCTGGCAGTCTCTGAACCATCATCCAGGCTCTACAGGGCACATGCAACCCTGAAGCAGGGTGCACAGTATGGCAGGCAGAGCAGGGGCCCCAGCCACACCTGGCATCTGGGCCTGTCCCCACATTGCACAAAGAGCCTCCAGTGGGCCACACCCAGAAGAGGCACTGAGAAACAGGAGTTTGCACTTGATGGGTGCACTCATGCTGGAGTAGAGACCACTCAGGGGACCTGGCTCAGCAGCCCCAATAACTAAAGGTCAGTTCCGGTGTCCAGGAGTCAGATTTGCTCCCAGAGACTAGAGAAGCCAGACCAGAGGGCACATTTTAGCCCCATAGAGTTAGGCTGTGAAAATCCCATGAGATGTAAGTTACAGCTGTAATGTACTGCCCAGCACACAGTAGCACCTAGTATATATCTTTTGGATGACAAAAGATGACTTAACAGAACTCTCCTGCAATGAAATGGGCTGTGTCTGAGGGGGTGAGGAGAGGGCAGTGAGCTCCCAGGCACTGTGGGTGTGCAAAAAGGCAGATGAGCAGAGTAGAGGCCCGCATAGACTCTTACTCACAAGAGAGAGTAATACCTTCGGTGAAGGCCACTCCGCAAAATACTAAAGATCCTCCCAGCCCCTTGCCTCTGTGAAGCCATGAGTTATCCACGCTGTGACTCAGTAAAGACAGATTGATTTCACTATTAGCTGAAGCAAAACCTAATTAGGAAGGCAAATTGATTTCCAAAAAAAGAATTGGATGATATGTTCCCAGGACTGTTAGAAATGGATTTTTAATTGTCTGTTCTTTTGCATTATTCATGCAAATGCCTGTCTTTGCCAAGCTAGCTAACTTGGTGTCTCACCCCTCCCCGCCCCCCAGCTCCTGCCTCTCTCTGTTTCAGCCCCTTTGGGGCTGAGCTGGGCTTTGCTCTGGACATAACTGAAACCAAGAGAAAGGCTGGGCCCTGGGCACAGGGGCCAGCAAGGAACAGAGTTGCTGAGGGCCACCTTTGTCTGCCCACCCATTCCAGGTGGCCCGGTCTCAGGGGAAAGGCATCTTCCTCTTCCGGAAACTGAAGGACATCATGGACTGGAGAAAGGTAAGCCCTGCCCTTGCCCCTCCTCCCCAACCCTCTGCTCTGCCAGGAGACCTCTCCTTCCTGCCCTCAGAGCCCAGAGCTCTGCCCTTAGGCTTGCCACAGGAGCAAGGATCTTACAGCACATGGTTTGGGTTCAAATCCTGACCTTGCCCAAAATAACCTTAATGGCCTTGGGCAAGTAACTGTACCTCTTGGTGCCCCAGGGATCCAAGATAGTAACAGTGTCTGCTGAAGATCTAATGGGTTAATAAACAGGAGTCCACCAGACTCTTGGGAAAATGACTGAAGTCCTCTGAACCTTAAGGTAGATGCCATGATGGTAGTGCCTGGTGGGGGAAGAGCAGGGTGACCCAACTCCCAGGCTCACAGCAGGTGCTCAATAAATGCCTCTCCCCCTCCACCCTGTGTCCCAATTCCTCCATTACTGTCAGGGCACTGTGGGGAAGAAGCTCACCAGCATGGAGACCCTGCCCCCCCGCAGCACTATCAATCCATCTGGTAGCCATGTGAGTAGAGGTGGGGTGACCTGGGGCCCAGGAAGGGGAGGCTTGGCTGCCAGGTGGGGGGCAGTGGCGGGGAGGAGGATCTGCGCCGAGAGCTGGAAGCCCTGAGTCTCACTGGGCAGGACATGTGGGCCCAGTGAGGGTGCCACTCTTGTCTTTGGCCTTGGTTTCTCACAAGGGAACAGTGAGGGGGAAAGAATTTTGTAGGCAAAGAGGGCTGTGCGCATGTGTGTGCACACCTTGCTGTCTTCGTAGTGGGACTGACAGGGAGGGAAGGACGAGGACATCCTCGGGGTCCTGTGACTACCCATGTCCTCTGGGTAGCACAGCAGCTAGAATTTTGTACAGCAATGGCAACGGTGACATCTGTGCTCTCACCAGGCTGATCACTGGCCACATGTTGATACCGAGCACTGGACACTGGGCCAAATTTTTTTCCCAGTGCTGGTGACCAACCCCAGCGCCTTGCACCTGCTAGGCATGCACTCTACTGCCCAAGACTGACGTTTCAGTTTCATTTCCCCTCTAAAAACTGCAAAGGGCTGGGGGTGTGACTCAGAGGTAGAGCACAGCTCAGCATGTACCACGTCCCGGGTTCCATCCCCAGAACCCCCACCAAAAATGTGGCAGAGTACGGAAGATGTAACCTTTGCTAGTTTAGCCATTTGTAAGCACACAGCTCTGCAGTATTGTGTGCATTGTGCAGCCATCGCCACCTCGGCTCCAGAGCACTGCCTCCTCCTCCCCTCAGCCCTGGCAGCCTCATTCTACTTTCTGGCCCTAGGAGTTTGCCCACTCTCTTGGTGCCTCATGTAAGTGAAATTGTAGTCACTGGCTTATTTCACTTAGTCAAAAAGGCTTCAACTTCCGCGCGTGTTGCAGCATGTAATTTCAGTCCCTTTTAATCAGTCTAAATGTAAATGTAAGGCCAGTGGCTGCCCCCCGCCCCCCGGGCAGCACAGGTCTGGAGGTTAAATGCTTAGGCCCTGGGCCCAAACCATGTGGGTCCACATCCTCCCTGTACTACTGACCAGCTGTGTGACCGTGGTCAAGTCACTCCACCTCTGTGCTCCAGTTTCAAATCCGTAAAATGGAAATCCCCGTTAGTACTTACCTGAGAAGGCTGATTTAAGGATCAAACACGATACCCAAGTGCAACACCTAACACAATGCCTAGCACACAGGAAGTACTCACTGTTAATAATTACTCTTTTCACAACTAGGACACAAGAACTTCTGATGACCAGAAAGATGAGACACCCGTGGAGAGCTATGTGGCTCAGCGTTACATCGAAAATCCCTACCTGATAGGAGGTGAGAAGTTGTCTCCACCCCCTACCCATCATGCAGTCAGTCAACAAGCCTTCAGCAGTCTGCAGAAGGCCCAGCCTGACACCAAGAAGGAAGGGAAGGTCTTCTGTACTCTCCCCACTCCTAGCCACTCCCATGCAATTCCCTCTGCCCATACTCCCTTCTTGGGTCATGAGAATTCTCTTTCTTCCTCGAGAACCAGTTCTTTCGCTCAAGCCTTCATCCAACAAATAAAGCGCCTTCTCGGTGCCAGCGGCTGTCCTGGGCACTGGCTGCCTCCTCTGCTCTCATGGTGCTTGTACCCCAGATGAGCAGACAGCAGGAAGCTGGAAAGCAAATAAATAAAACAGCCCATGCCCTGGCAGGCCTCAGGAAGTAGATCAAGCGGGGGGGAGGAGGCAGTGGGGATGAGGAGGGCCTTCAGAGATGATGTGTGATCTGAGACCCAAGTGACCCCTAGCAGTCACCTGTGGGTAGACTTGGACCTTGAATGTAGGGAGAGGGGATGGTGACAGTGAGGGCAGAGGCCCCCTGGGGGAGCCCAGCTCCTCTCTGGGCAGCCACGCAGACTGCCTCTGTGAACTGCAGGCCTGGGGAGAAGAGCTGTGAGCCCTGGAGTCTTGTCTGAGGCGCATCGTTGTCACAGTGTTGATGTCACTTGCTCCCCTCCTCCACTGGCAATGACCTTGGAGAGGGCAGTCCTGGGTCTTTTTCTTCTCCTTCTCCCAGTAACCCATCCTGCCTGTGGCTTTAAATACCACCGAGATGCCTGTGACTCCAGCTTTCTGTCCCCAGTGAGACCTTGTCCATAACCCCTTTTGGGCACCTGCCAGCAACTCCAGCCCACTGTGGCCAGATTGCACTCAGCTTGGCTTATTCCCCAGCTTCTCCATCCAGGTCATAGCTCCTGGCTAAGCCAGAGTCTGGGAACAGTTCTGGGTCCCTCTGGTTCTCCCCTCCCACATCTGAGTCTTCAGCAAGCCCAACCACTCTAGAAGCTATCTGGCCCACCCCTCTGACCTCCATCCTGTTCCTGGCCACTGCCCCTCTGGACGGCTGTGCTGGCCCACTCACTGGTGCCCCACTGCCTTGGTCCTGTTCATTCTGAGCCAACACAGTAGCCAGGGGCATTGTCCTCCCTTGGTGGCTTCTAATGGTTTGCAGAACAAACCCCAAGGACTGCACAGGGCTTGGTCCCTGCCACCTGGCTCATGTCATCTCCTTCCTCTCCCCTTGGCCCAGGCTCTTTGCCTCTTTGGGCCTCTGTTCCTGCCCACTCTGGCTCGACAGGCACTTCTCACCTGTCAGTCACCACTTCCCACGGGGCCTTCCTTGGCCACTAAGCCTCAGGTCTTTCCCCAACACTGCCCCCCGCCCCAGACTCCCTGCTGTCCTCTCCTTGTACCCTGAGTGGTTTTCCTGGAGCTCTACAGAGGAAGGGATTCATTTTTGTCTGTCTGTCTCTCAACCTAGGACGGAGTCTGACACGCAATCCATATTTACTACATGAATTAATTCTTTCTTTTCCCACAGGCCGCAAATTTGACCTGCGTGTCTATGTGCTAGTGATGTCGGTGAGCCCTCCTCCAGCAGGGGACAGGGCAGGGGCCACTGTGGGAGCACCTACGTAGACATGTGGTTGTCTCTCTGCCTCGGGGAGCCCACGGACCTCTAGGGATGGGACAGGCAATGTACCCAAGTTTTACCATCCCAACCACCCCAGCACTTATATTTGCCTTCAATCTGTCATCCATGGCAACCACCGTGGACATTCATTGAGCACCTACTAAGTACCAAGCCCTAGTACTCTGCAGGTGTATCTCATTCAGTCCTCCAGACCCAGTGGGGTACTAGGTCATTATCTTCATTTTACAGACAAATACAGAGAGGTTGAGGGACTTGTCCAAGATCACACAGCAGATGAGTGGTAGAACTAGGAGATTCAAATCCAGACAGCCTGGCCCCAGAGCCTTCTCCCCTAACCAGAGAATGGCTTCCTCCCTCCACCCCCCTCCCATTCATTCATTCATTCATTCAGCAGACGTTTACACCTTCATGGCATGCTACTGTGTGTTAGGCACAAGGACACAGGGGTGTCTGAGACAGGCTCAGCCCCTGTGTTCCTGCATCTCACAGTCTGAGGGGGGTGGGGGGAATGTCAAACGTGGTAGTGGAGCACAGAAGAGGCTCTTCCATTTTGTTTCCTTCTGCCCTGCCCCATCCCCACGGTCTCCAGGAAGGAGGGGGTAATGTCAAAGGATGATGGCAGAGCGATGCTCAGAGGGCACGCTGGGTGGAGGAAGGGCAAGTGCAGGAGCTAGGAGGTGTAGAAATGCCCATTTGGACTTCCTGTCCCTTTCTCTCTCTATTCCCACTTCCACCTCAGTACATCCCGCTGCGGGCCTGGCTCTACCGGGATGGCTTCGCCAGATTCTCCAACACCCGCTTCACACTGAGCAGCATTGACGACCAGTGTATCCTGGGACCCCCACCTATCCACCCTCATGCACCTGTCCCTCCTGTCCTCTGGCCAGTCCCGAGGGAACTTCTTCATCCCACTTGCTGACTGCCTGCTGGGGTACAAGGCATACAGCAGTGAACAAGACAGAGCCAGTCCCTTCCCTCTGGGAGATCCTAGTATTTTGGGGTGGCCCCTTCTCAGAGCAGCTCACCCCAAACTCCTTGGGGGACGGTCTTGGTGGCCTGCCTTACATTCATGTTATTTGTCTTCATAGGAGTGGCAAGGTTTAGTGCCTTTGGAGGATATTTGCATATGCTTTTGTGTGGTTTTGTTTTGAGATAAAGTTTCACTATCCTCCTGCCTCTGCCTGAGTGCTGGAATTACAGGCATGTGCCACTCTTGCTGTGTTTACATCTTTTATGTGCCTTTTTTTTTCAGTGCTTACTCATTGTCTCACCCATTCATTCAAATACAATTACATTTTCACCCATCTGATAGGCAGAGACCAAAACTTGGAGCACACACTGTCTTGGCAAGGCTGGGACAGGACTTACATTGCTGTCGGGAGTGGAAAGTTCACAACTCTTACAAGGCAATTTGGTCAATATCTATCTAAAGCCAGATGCACATAGCCTCTGATCCAGCAATTTCTCTTCTGGAACTCTATCCCAGGGGTACACTCACAATGCAGGAAAAGACAGTCATAGAGGTTACTCACTACACAGCCTGGTTTATGAGAACAAAAAGCAGGAAACAGTGACACAAATAGTGAATTTATGCAGTGGAATACTATGCAACTGTTAAAAGGTGGGGAAGACCAGGCTTAGTGACTCAAGCCTGTAATCCCAGCTACTAGTGAGGTGGAGATTGGGAGGATCACAGTTTGAGGCAAAAAACAAAAAAAGTTCAAGAGAGCCACATCTCAACCAATGGCTGGGTGCAGTGGCAGATGCCTGTCATTCCAGCTACATGGGGAAGGATAAATAGGATGGTGGTCCAGGTCAGCCCATGCTTCAAGACCCTATCTCAAAAATAACCAAGGCAAAAAGGGCTAGTGGAGTGGCTCAAGTGATAGAGCACTTGCCTAGTGAGCATGAAGGCCTGACCCTCAGTACCACCAAAGTAAAAAAAGAAAGATGGGGGAAAGTGCTCTGTGCTCTGTGGAATGGTATGAAACAGTCTCCAAGCTAGATTGTTAATTGAAAAACAACAGAACAATAAAAAGAATGGTCCCATTCATGTTAAAATGTATGTCTGTATGTTTACTTATCTGGGCACAGACATCTCTGAAGGATAGACAAGCAACTGGAAACAGGGCTGGGGACATGGCTCAGTGGAGAGCACTTGCCTAGCAGGCTAAAGGCCCTGGGTTTGATCCTAGCATCACCAAAAAAGAAAAGGAAACTGGAAACAGAAGTTGTCACTAGAAGGAAAAATGGGTGTGTGGGTATGGAGTGGAAAAAAGATATTTTCTTATACGTGTTTTTGTACTTTCTGACTTTTGAGCCTTTGAATGTATTATCTCCAAATATACACAAAAAGTTATGACCTGGGCTTTGTGGTTCACATCTGTAATCCCATCTACTCAGGAGGAAAGATAGGAGGATCAAGGTTCAAGGCTGGCATGGGGAAAAGCTTAAGACCCTATCTGTAAAATAAACTAAAGCAAAAATGGCTGAAGACATGGCTTATGCCTACCCTAGCAAGTGCAAGATCCTGAGTTCAAATTCCAATACCACACACACACACACACACACACACAAAGTTTTTCTGGGAATGGTGGTTCATGCCTGTAGTCCCAGCAGTCAGGAGGCTTCAGAAGAAAAGGGGAACAATTTAGGAGTTAAGTCAGCAGGTGTGAATTACCTGCACATGGAGGTCACCTGTGTATGGAGCAAAGATGCCTCTGCCAGGCTTCTGGCCTGGGGAGCCCAGCCAGTGTTTTTAGCCAATTCACAGCTCTCTACCCTAACTTCATCCTTCAGTGTAGTGTGCATCCAAGGTCATGCATTTGCATTGCCTGCAGGCCCTTCAGAGTGTTTTTTACAGTTTGTATTTTTTTCTACTTTGCCAGCTTCACTTCTGGCATGTTTATTTTATTGTGTAATTGTAAAAAGCACTTGTCACATGTGCGTCATTAGATTTAGTTTAGTTTGTTTTTAATGCTGTCTCCTTTTATTATTATTACAATTAAATAATGCATGCAAAGCACACAGGCAGAGTGACCCGCGGTAAATGTTAGTGGCCCTCCCTCTGCCACCTATGGGTGTCTGCACGTCCCTGGGCAAAGGAGGGACTCAGTAAACAAATGAGCTCGCTCCACTTAATGGGGCTTTGCTCATCAAATATTCACAATGACTTCCACGCCTTCTTTTAAATTGTTCTTAAGTTTTTATTCTGGGAACTAAAATATATAGAAAGCTCCAGAAAAGACTGTCCCCTCCAGAGCCCTTGCATCTACCACTTTCACAGATCTTAATTAGTACTTTGTCATGTCGGCTTCAGATATTACACGCCAGCTTTTACAATAACAAAGTAAGCTTTGGATCACAAAATAATAAATACACTGAAGCTGACCATTTTTTGTCTATTGACCTCTTATAAATCTATACTCAAATCCTTTGCCCATTTTAAAAATTGGATTATGTGTCTTTCATTGTTGAGTTATTAGAATTCTTTATGTATTCTGGATACTAGTCCCATATCGGATCTGTGATTTGCATTCTATAGGCTGTCTTTTTCACTTTCTTTTTACTGTGTAGCCAAGACTGTCCTCGAACTTGAAATCCTCCTGCCTCAGCCTCCTGAGTTCTGGGATTACAGATGTGAGCCACCATATTTTGCCTCTTATCTATAGGTCTACAGTCCATTCAGAGTTGATTTTTGTCTATGGTGTGAGGATGGGGTTCTGTTTTATTTTTTGCACCTGGCTACCCACGTGTCCCTGCCCCATTTGTGGAAAAGACTCCTTTCCCCATTGAATTACCTTGGCACCCTTTTCAGAAATCAACTGACCATAAATGTAGGGGTTCCCTTCCTTTTTAATGATTGGCTGTGTGTTCATTCTTTTGAAACTGAGGTAGACCAACTCTCGGACAAATGTGAAGGAAAAAAAAGTCTTTGAAAAGCTCTAAAGTCAACGCTTTAGGGAAGAGATGCCAAAGAGGACACCACCTTTTCAGACAGGCTGAAGCCACCCTGCCCTGTTCCCTGTGTCACAACAGGGAGAACCATATGCTGTAGAGAAACTACTTGAGCAGGGGACCTGGAGCCTCCACCTCAAGTGGAGTAATGTCTTGAGTAAGTCCTGGAGAAAGTTATCTCTCACAGTAATTTCATGAGATCTGGGGAGCCATCCTGTCAGCCGGGGCAGTCTGTTGAGGAAGGGTGTTCTGAGTGGCTGTCACTACCTTCTCTGAGACTCCAAGGTCTTATTTGTGGGATGGGGATTATTTGAGGGAACAAATGAGATGATGTGTGTAAATGTGCTCTGTGAGCTACAAAGTGTCACCCATGTCACTAGAGGTGATGACAGTGGTGATACAAAAGGCAGACTCTTAGGCCTGGGTCTTTCAAGGCCCCAATTCTGCATCCTTTCTCCAATGTTCCTACAAAGGAGGCTTCCATTCCAAACACCTCTGGTGACAGGAAGCTCTGTGTGTCCTATGATGAAAATTTTCTCTTGAATCAAAAAGCAGTAATATAATCCCATCAGCTATGCTAGGCACTCTGAGAGGCTCTCATACAATATTTGCTCTGATCCTTCAATAATCTTGTGAAGCCACTGTACTGTTATGTACTCACATTTCATAGGTGGGGGAACAGGTTCAGAGAGGTTAAACAGCTTGCTCAGGGGCCATTAGCTCTTAAGATAGAGGCAGGATTTGTACCCAGGCCTGTCTGACTGTAAAGCCCACATATGTGGACTTTGAGCTGTTTTGTGGCTTTCCCCCTCAATCCTTACACCAGGGCTCAGTTTAGTCCCAAGGAGCAACGTGGAGCAGGGTTTGCCCTTCCTGTTCATGATGGCCCTTGACCACCAACCTCTGCCAGATGTTCACCTCACCAATGTCGCTGTACAAAAGACATCTCCCGACTACCACCCAAAGAAGGTAAGGAAGCTGGGCTTGTGGTCCCCACAGTGCAGCCTTCTGGGACAGGTTGGGTTGGGATGAGACGAGTGGCAGGAGCCCAGGGCCACAGTTCATCAGTGAGGAATAGTTCACCTGTCCCATCTGAGCCAGGGCTAGGGTGTAATGGAAGTACATGAATCATGTATCTAAATATTTGAAGTCAAACTAATGCACCCCTAACCAAATGTGTTCTTACCTCCTACCTTAGACAGCTCCTATTGGTCAGTCAGTTTACTAGTGTATTGTACCCAGATACTTTTATCTGTTTCTATTATCTATCTATCTATCTGTCTATCTATCTAATCTAGATAATAACTTGCAAGGCCAAGTTCAAATACAGAACTCTGACTTCTCTGAGTTAAGGGCCAGGTTAGGGGCACAGGAGAGTGAGCCCCAAGTTTGTACCTGCTCCCTTTTTTTCCCTCCTCTGGCTCCAGCTTGCACATGGAGGGCATGCACACAAGCCCTGGGGGCAACAGCCTGTGCCCATTCTTTGACCTTGGGCACACATGGGCAGTGCAGTCCACCTAGAGGAAGGACCTGCGCAGGCCACACAGAACATAGCCAGTCTTAGTTCTGTCAAATCTCTGTTCTAATCATGGGCTGTACTGATGGACTTAACTGAGGCCCCTCTCCTACCCCGCTGCTGGGCTCCAGGGCTGCAAGTGGATGCTGCAGCGCTTCCGGCAGTACTTGGCATCCGAGCATGGCCCCCAAGCTGTGGAGACGCTCTTCAGGGACATGGACAACATCTTCGTCAAGAGCCTGCAGAGTGTGCAGAAGGTGATGATCAGCGACAAGCACTGCTTTGAGCTGTACGGCTATGACATCCTCATTGACCAGGATCTCAAGCCGTAAGTGGCCGGGGGCCCCAGCCAGGCAGGACTCACACCACCTGGCTCAAATCCCAGCCCTGCCACTTTCTAGTTGTGCACACTTCCTTTTCCTGTGCCTCAGTTTTCCAGTCTGTACAATGGGGCTGGTCATCGTGCCTATCCTTAGAGGATGGTTAGGAGGGATGAATGAGCTATTTTCTGCAGAGAACTAGACACTGAGTTTGGCCCTCTGAGGCAAGTTCTGATTGTCAGTTGAGTCAGGGTTGCGCCTCCTGTACCAGGCAAGAAGCTTCTCCTCTGGAAGTCTTGGCGCCTGGAGGATGCAAACTGCCACGTAAGGGAATATTGTAAAGTGTCATCCCTGCCAAGAATGGGGTGCACTCCCACAGCGCCTTGGCAAGGGTGGATCTGGCAAGTAGAACAAGCCTGAGCTGGCAAGGACCACTGGGACAGCCTCACAAGACACGACAGGGCATGGAAACCCTGGGGGTTTTACAGGGACCCTGAGGTCAATGGCAAGTCAAGGGCAAAGCCAGGCCCAGACTTGTCAGCACTTGTCCTGAGCTGCTCCACACCCACCCCCCTCCCCGCACTGCAGGATGTTGTTGGTGCTGAGGGAGCAAGGAGGAGGGGCCCAAGAGCAATACCTAAGTCAGCCCCCTGGCCACAGGAGAAACTGAGTCCAAACCAACAGGTATCTCTCCTTTGCCCCTGTAGCAAGGTGTGACTGCAGGCATTGGGGTACACACTGAGGGGGAACAAACTCTAGAGGAGGAAGCACAGGTGGAAAAGGGGTTCCCCCCCACTGACCTGCTAGGGGAACTTCCCTCTGTCTGCAAACTGATGGGGTTGTACAAATCAGGAGGTCGCCTGCTGGAGGTACTTGGGCCTCTCTTGGCTTGTGCATGTAGGTATTTGGCCTGAGTTTGGCCTTCAGAATGTTTTTATTTATATTTAATTTAAATTTGCTGATAAGCTCTAAAATTTGGTAGATGTTTACATAAAAATTAGGATTTGGGTTTTTTTTGAAAAATCAAACAATTTCACAATTCTAGGCTCACGCTCCAACAAGATGGCACTCCTTTGGGTGTGAGATACCTTTGCCTCTCACCAACCACCCTCCTCCTGTCTCTCCAGCCCCTGGCACAGCAGGCACTGGGTAACTATTGTAAACTCTCACTAGGAAGAGAGGCTTGTCCTGCATTCATGTTGGAAGAAAAACACCAGCCGCAGGAGGACCCCATGATTGTTTATACGCCCGCCGGCTTCCTCCTGTGCAGTGCCCGTGTGGAGGGACAGCCCTGGGTGAAATGGGAACAGAGCCCATGCTCCACATAGCCTCAGCAAAATGTCAGGGGCTCCAGGCACTGAGGGACCCTCAGGCTCTCTCCCCCCTGCCCCGGCCTCTCCAGGTGGCTCCTGGAGGTCAACGCATCCCCGTCACTGACAGCTAGCAGCCAGGAGGACTACGAGCTGAAGACGTGCCTGTTGGAGGACACTCTGCATGTGGTGGACATGGAAGCCAGGTGTGGTCCCCACACTTGCCCCATCCGTGGCAGATGGTGCTCCCACTATGGAAGAGAGAAAACTTAGAACCTTGAGCTGCCTCCATTTCATAGATGAAGAAACTAATGTTCACAGAATCAGGCCCTGCAGAGGACTTGGCCTCTCCAGGACGGAGGCTCAGTCTAGCAGGATTCACTGTACACCCCCTGATGGTGGGATGCCTCTGAGCCTCAGTTTCCTCACCTGTACAATGGGAAACATCGTGCCTGCCCTCAGGGTTGTTAGACTAATACATTGCAACTTACTGTAAAGTGCCTGGCTTGCAGGGAGTGCCTGTAAGACTCTACTTACTGCTCCAACAATGTGTACACAATGGAAAGAGTCCAGGGCTGGCTTCAGTAATGGGCAGATCCAGGTGCTCAAACTTGGTTTGTCTGTTTTCTCCTTCCCTTTTATGTGCATGCACTCACACTTTCATTCTTGTTCTCTTTCTCTCTTTCCTCTGAATTAGCTTTTCCCCAGTTGTTCCAGCAGAAGTTGGAGGCCAATTCTCATTGCTGGGAATGGGTCACACGTCATCCCTGAACCAATACTGTGACTGGTTGCTCAGGCCTAGGCATTGTGCCCACCTTCTAGGAGGGTCAGCCCCACCTGAGCCACATTCAGGGGGCAGGGGAGGGACAGGACAGAGCGAAGAGGAGTTCTTAAAGGAAAACCTGAGGGTGAAATGAGGTACAAAGGGTACATTTGAGCCTCTACTGTGTGCCAGGCCCTATGTCCTACATTGGAAATATAGTAAAGAACATGACAGACCCAGACCCTGCCTTCATGGTGTTTATGTTCTGGGGAGGAAAGCAGATTTTAAACCAGAACTCACAAATTAGGTGCAACGTTACCAAGGGCAAGGTCGGGGGGCCATAGGGTGGGGTAAAATCAGGAACAACCCTTTGGAGACCTGTGTGGTCATCAGAAAACAGCCAGAGAATGGTTGGATGAAGAAAGCATTCTGACAGGGAGGGCAGCCATGGAGTTTGGGGTGGGATGGGACCTGGCATTTGGACTTAAGGGTCCCACCAGCTGCGCCTCCTTTAACTTGTTCTTTATCCTGACGGTCCAGGCTCACAGGAAGGGAAAAGCGAGTTGGGGGCTTTGACCTCATGTGGAATGACGGCCCTGTCAGCGGAGAAGAGGGAGCTCCTGACCTGTCAGGGATGGGAACCTGTGTGACCAACACACACCTGGGTATGTTGGCCTGCAGGGAGGGAGTGGGAGCCAGGGGTGCAACACGCTGGGAGAGAAGGCAGCCCGGCACAGCAGTGAGTGAACTTGATGTGCGGTTTACCAGCTGTGTGATGTTGAGCAAGGGACTTAACTTCTCTGTTCCTCGTCTGTAAAACAGAGACGGGAGAGTTGCCTAGGACACTTCCTGGCACATTATGAGAAACTATTATCTTTTAGGAAGGAATTTCAAAAGATTTATGTGGAAAAAATGCATACCATTTTGCTAGGACTTGAATACAAAGTTGATTTTACAAATGTGAAAACTTTCCCTGATTATAAAAATTATGCACACTCATTGTAGAATATTTGAAAACTAAAGAAGGAACTTGAAAAAACCATCCAGACAAAACCATCTCTTAACAATCTGGTGTGTTTTTCTTCCACTTTTGAAAAAATGCATATATTCATACTTTTCTAACACTGCCATTAGGCTGGAGTTCTGAGTCCCACTTTCCCATGTGGCATTTTCCATTCAAGAATGTTTGGAAGCACTTCAGGCCAGGTCCAGACTCAATGCTCTACACATGTAGCTCATTTCATCTCCAGGCGACTTTTCTCACCATTGTTTAGATGAGAAAATGGTCTCCAGAGGCTACAGAGACTGCACTAAGTGGCAAGCCAGGCCTTGAATTCCAAAACCTGAATGCTGACCACTGGACTCTCTTGCCAGGTCAAAAACAAAACTACCACACAGCTTCAAACAGTCTAGCTCGCTATATGCCAACACCTGCACCAAGCCAATTCTTGTAATTGGCCATTTGGCACAATTCCAGTTTTTTTACTTTTATCAGCAATATCATAATGAGTATCACCTCTCATAAAACACAACTGAAATTCTGGCTGTTTCCTTAGGACAGATCCCTAGAAACAGAATTACTAGATCAGAGGGATGGACTTATTACAACCAAAGTGCTTCCAGGATGAATACACCAATGTGCCAGTTCTGAATTTAAAAAATATCTGCACTAACTTGGATGGTTTTTTTGTTTTTGTTTTCTTTTTGAGACAGGTTCTCACTATGGCCCAGGCTAGACTCAGACTCTCATTGTAGCCCAGGCTGGGCTCACACTCCTGATCCTCCTGCCTCAGCCTCCACAGTGCTAGGATTTCAAATGGCTAACATTTGCATTTTTACAAGCTCCCACGTGATGCTAACTACTGCTGTGTAACAAACCTCTCCAAACCCAGCAGCTTAAAACAGCTGTTTTGTATGTTTGTGGTTCTTCAGGTCTCTCCTGGAGCCACTCACAGGGCTGTAGGCAGCCTTATTGAGACTCAAGGGCCTTGTTCTTCCTTATGGGGATTGATACAGGCTGTCAGCTAGGCTTCACTATGTGGCCATTCGATCCCCAAGTCTAGCTCTGGCCTCTGTGTGGCAGTCCCAGAGTTCCAAGAGAAAACATGGCAAAGCTCTTGAAGACCGAGTCTCGGAAGTGCCACAGTGTCATTCTGCTACAACCCATTGCTCCAATCAATTTGCTAGGCCAGCCCAGAGGCACGGGGTGAGGTGTAGCAGTCACCTTGCACCGTGTATGTAGAAAGGGAAGGAACTGTTGCAGTCATCTGTGGATAGGGTCCTCACATGCCAATGCTTCGGGTTCCTGGGCCCCCATAAGAGTAGCAGAGAAACAGTGGTTTTCCACCTTGGCTGCACACCAGACACACCTGGGAGCTTTACAAAATACTGATGCCTACCAGAAATAAAGAAGTGATTGGTCTGGACATCAGTATTTTTGAAGCTCCCAGTGACTTAAATAGGCAACACAGGTAGACCCACTGCTTTAGAAGTCTCTAGAACTAATCTCAAATTTCTAGTCTAGCATTTAGGTGGATGGCAGTAAACAGGAGGAGCTGGGTTGGGGTGGGTAGGGGAGGAGTATTGAGGATCGAGTTAGGGACGTGTTGGTGGAAGTCAGCAGGAAACTCAGAGTCTAGAACTCCAAGGAGTTTGCACTGGACATGAAGACTTGGCATTATGAATGCGCCAAATACAGTTAAAGCTAGTGTTCCACAAAACTCACCTTGAAAAACCCTGAGGAGGCACACAGTGAACCTTCAGCTCAGTGAGGCCTTGATGGCTGGTGAGCACCTTAAAGGCAGGGTCAGGTTTTGGGTGCTAAGACAGACGGCAGTTGCTTCCAGATAACTAGAGGCCACAGAGATCCAGACACTTAAGCAGCATTTTTGAGTGTCATCAGTATGCCTGGCACAAGATTAAATGGCCATGGGGTTGCCTTAAGGACCAGCTCTGAGAGCAAGCAGAAAGGGATTGTAGGGTAAACATGGAGAGGCAGCCTCTCAGCACTCACTGCCAGGACACTCTCTAAGCCAGGGGCCACTTTCAGGGAAATTCCTTTTAACCTATTGTGCCTGACACACAGGCTGTATTGTGCTAGCTTTATGCATTTTCACTGAGCAAAACCAGGAGACAAGGCAGTGCGGAGCAACAGTTAAAGAGTATGGTTCTGGCACTAGACAGCCTGGGTTTGAGTCCCAATTCTGCTACTCATTGTGTGAATCAGGGCAAATGACTTCACCTCTCTGAGCCTCAGTTCCCTGTCTACAAATCGTTTTCTGAAAGGGCTCAACAACCTGAAACAAACCTGAAGCGGTCTGGCTGAGGGAAGTTAAGTCCCAGTCAGCGTTAGACTTCGCTGATGTATCCCATGTTCACTCAACAAGGTGGGCATGTTAGCCTGACTGAGAAGGCCGATGCTTAGAAGTACGGGTCTGCTGAGGGTCATGCGCAGCTACGTTAACTCCTATTGTCTCCTTTCCACCAGCTAGTGGATGCACAGGCCCTTTCACTCTCCTGCCCCCCCAGGACAGGCCACCCTAGCCAACACCCTACTTCCTTTCCAGGCTGCATCAATGATCGAAAAAAACAGCTGAGGCAGCTCTTCCGCTCCCTTCAAGTGCAGAAGAAAGCTCCCAGCTGACCCCAGCTGCTGTGAGAAAGAGGCCCTGGAAGGTGCCGCCCTGGCCTCTCCCTGCTCCGTTCCAGCACAGTGCACCTCACAGTATTTGCCTCCTCCAGCCTGGCAGCAGCTTTGCTGGCTAAGCAGCTGCTGCTTGCTGCTTGGACCACGTACCCAGATCCCCCACACCCTCGGGCATCTTTGCACCAGGAGACAGCCAATCCCTGGGACTAGATGGGTTAACCTTGACAGACTGGCTGGTGACTGGCCCCAAAGAGGACAAATGCAGCAAGTTCTGCCACCCAGGGATCACATCTAATAAACAAGCAAAGGCCTTCCTTGGAGTCACTGGGCACTGGGCCTGGCTCAGGGCATACTGTTGGCTGCAGCCAAGTTGTCCAGCTCTGGCATTTTGATGTCTCTCGGGTCATGCTGAAAGGGCCCCTGGGGCTAGGGAACTTGTTTTTAAGCCATTTGTGCAAAGCAAGCAGTTATGAGGTTTGCATGTTTACTGGGGCACTTTGGGGCAGTGCTGAGTCCTGAACATATCCTCTCCTCTCTGCAACACCCCAACCTTGTGTGTCAGGGAGACCCACAGGGAGACCCACAGACCGACCCCTGCCCCCACCACTGCCATCTGAAGACTACTTGGATGAGGTGAGGACTGAAAATGCAGAGCTGCATAGTGAGGATCTGCAAAAATGCATTCAAGTCAAACAGAGTGCCTGGTCGGCTCAGGCACCTTTCTGAGGCTTCCTGTTTGAGGTTGAGAGCTGAGCTTTTTAAATCAGAAAGCCTTGGGCTCACAGGCAAGATGCCTTAGGGAGCTGGGTGCAAATAAAACTTTCTGCACTTCCCCCACATTCTTGCATCCCATTCAGAAGCCTCCTCTTGGTTTGAGGGAGTGCAACAAGCCTGGGCTGGTGGGCAAACCGCTTCATGGGGATCTACCACTTCCCTCTGCTTGGGGAAGTCCTTTTCGATGCAAATGACAGAGTCTGACTGCCTAGCATAAGCTCAGGTGCTTTGAGGAGGAAAATACTAGCAAATCCAACAAGTCAGCTGGCCTTTAGAAGGCCAGGAGCCAAGCTACTCTGGACCTTCTGACTCCAGAGTGCAGGGACTTTCTTTCAACCCTGGAAGTGAAACAAGTGGGGCAACCCCAGGCATGGGCTCCAGGTTCCGCATTTCCAGGATAAAATAACTGATTGGCTCTTTGGCCTAGCACCGCATTGCCTGCCTGGTTGGGGCAATGTTCCAGGGGTGAAACTACCAAAGTGAATCCCTCAACTCCCTACTTTTTTACATTTGTATTTTAAAATATGCCACATACCCATATGGTTTAAAGTTCAAAATTTACCAAAGAGTGTACAGTGACATCTTCCCTTTCACCCTGTGGCCAACCCTGAAGTTGCTGTCCTAATGAAACACTGTCCTGCCCTTGCTTTTCTCAATGCATTTTGGAGCTTATCCCAATTCAGTGCTCAAGAACCTTCCTCACCCTGCGTCCAGCTGTGCAACACTCCACTCTGGAGCTAATGATCCTAGAACCTATCTTCTGTGGGGAGACATAGAGCTTGTTCCCACTCTACTGCCTACTTCTTAGGGCTACCAGGATGAAAACACAGGAATTTCTGTAAAACTTAACATGTGAAAGTATAGGTTTGGGTCAAATTTGGTTTATGTAAAGTGTTTTACTTGACCAACACTCAAGTTTTTAAATAGTTTCTGAATTAATATTTAAAAGACAGATAATTTAATATAAATTTTTTAGCTTATCTTGATAAGCAGCCTATGCTCCTATATAACAATGGGCCAAAGCTAAGTCCGGTGAGGGGAACAGGAGGCGAGGTGTCTCTCCCATTTTACCACTTATGACCTATCCAGTCCTAGTATTATTTCAGAGGTGGTATTCTAAAAGGAGGACTGAAGGAGGTGACGAGAAGCTGTTCGTTCACTCAGCTAACATTTATTGAGCCCTCAATGAACACAAAGGGCAGTTCTATCCTCACAGCATTCACACCAGGATCTCAGACCAAGAAAGGCAGCAAGGACTCAGGGCAGCTTGACTGGCCAGGCCCTGGTTTCAAGGTGGTAGAGGGCACTCAACATGAGTAACATGTTAGGAGGGAACCCTGCTTGTCCTTCTCTGGGCAGGACTGCGCTAGGTCTCTTGACCAAAGAGCAGCCACAGGGGTCAGTCAATAAGCAATACCCACTTTGGAAAAGCAGCAAGAAACTGGAGGCAGTGGGGAAAATGTGTCTGTCCTATAGATGGTTGTGGTGAACACAGAGCACTAACGGTTTGTGCTTCATGTAGAAGCCATCTGCAAGCCTCCTGCTTTACTCCAATTCCATCACACATACTGTTTGAAAATGCCTCTCTCCTTTGAGAGGAACAGAAAACCTTGGAATGAAGCTCCTGCCCCACTCCACTCCCTCTTTCCCTGCTTGGGCCCATATGACAGCAGGCCACCGTTGAGAAGTGCCTGCTGTAGTCATTCTCACACCCCTACACTCCCACTAGCAGCTGCCAGGGCCTGTCAATAGTGTCCACTGAGCCCTGGTGGCCAGGCCAGGCAGATAAGGATGGGCTGAGGAATCCCTCCTGCTATTATAGAGCAGCCAAGCACAACAGAAAAAGAGCCATAGTCACATCCAGGACCAATCCTGTCCTTACAGGTCTCAAGGTTGGAGGGTCCTGGGTCTTCTTGAAGTGGGGACATTGGTCACAGGTCCCCCTTCTTGATACATGATTCTCATCCTTTCAAGATAACCTTGAGAGCTTTAAGTTCATCCTGGTTGAGGGGTTTCAGGTTAAAACCCTTCAGCTCCGGTTTGCCTGCGGGGAGAAGATGATCCATGAGCAAGCTGGGCCTCCTGCTGCTCAACCTCCTGCTGGCTCTGGAGTCAAGACCTAGGAAAGTGGCTGACACTGCACTAAGGCTGCCAACCTTGGCCTAAGGTCTGACAGAATAAACCTCAGATTCTACAATGCACAGGATAGTACACATCCACACCACCCTGGGTCAAGAATCTGCAAAGTCATGACTCCTGCTCAGGGACCTCCAAAATGACCCAACCAGAGTGCTTGGGTTTATCCAGAATTTCAGCTCTGATTTTGGCCACCCAATTATGATATTCTGAGTTTCTTCAGTTGGAGTTATCCTGGGTCCCCACACCAAGCCCTGCATATGATGTAAGATCACCCCAGGTGGCCTCCTAAATGCCTGAAAAAGAAGCTTTGACAGGAATGAAAAGACCCACAAACCTGCCCACCCATTCTCTCTGGGTGGCTACAGACAACCACTAACCACTCCCCCAGTGCTGTGCATATTCTGCCCCAGCCCTGCCCACCTCTAAGGGGCTTCCTATTCCTGATGGGTCCCTTCTCCCTGGTTTCCAGTTCCCTCAGGCCAATACCTTGGGCCTCAAAGAGGCGATTGACCTTCACTTTAAGTTGTTTCCGGAGTTTATCTATTTCTTTATCCAGGTGGTCCTGATCTGAAAAAAGCAAAGTGGGCAGAGGACAAGGTTATACTATAGAGAGAGCAACCCAGGCTGTGGGAACTCCAGATCTAGCCCAGCCCCTTTGGGAACAAGGACTCATAGGATTTGAGAGGAACATGGGGGTCTCAGAAGCCAACTGAGAAAGGACTAAAGACTAGAGGGACATGAGCTGTTCAAGACCACTCAGTTGACCCAGGACAAGGCTGAGTACCTGGTCCCAACTCCTAGTTCACTGATTTTTCTTTCTTGCTGTGTGGTCAATGGATAGGCAACATCAGAATAGCACGTCTACCCCACCATTATTACTACAGTAAAACTGAGGAAAATTTAAATGTGAGAACAAAATGAAGGACTCAGCTCACTCCAAAATAGCTGAGGAACTTTACAAACCCAAGGAGTTTTTAGAAAAACAAATGTGGAAACATATGACCTACATAATCAATGCATGAGCTGAATGCTCTACCTTAACCTAGTTAACCACAGTGGATAAAAAAAGTCATCCTAACAGTCACCGAATGACTGCTCTTGAGAAGTGGCATCATGATGGAGGTGGCTATCAAAGCTTGACAGTCAACTGCTGTCACCCCTCAGACTTTTACTCTTTCTGATAGGGAGAAGCCCTGACTGGCCAAGCTTCATGGCAGTGGTTCTATTTCCTATTGTAAAGCCCTTGTGAGCTTGTTTAGCCTGTGTCAATCCCTGAAAACCCTGATGATGGCCCAGAACTCCTCTAGGTACAGTGACTAGACCACATTTGTGGGTCAACAGAGAACAGGACCAGATCCGGAACCCAGGCAGTGACCCCCACCGAAAGCACAGGCTGCACAGCCTCTAGTCCACTGCCCCAGTGCAGTGACTTCATTTTAACCACGTTGTGTGTGTATGCTTTCAGTGCAACAGCTGGAAACTTCTCCAGGCTGGATCTAGTTTCCTCTATTAGAATTTTGGTTTCAAAAGGTATAGAGGCACCCTATCTTCTGAGACTGAGGCAACCTTAGTCCTTTTGGCTTTAAGGATATGAAGGAGAAAATATGTGTGACCTGCCCCTTTCCCAGGTAGGACCCATTTACAGACCTCTTGCCTTTATGATGCTTCTCCAAAGAACATCCAGGATCTCATGGATTTGGAGACAGGTAAAATATGTTGTGTGCCCAGTCTATGGCAGACACTTGTTCTCCCTAAATCTCCATTTTCAACCCAGTCTCTATTGTAGGGGGTGTAAAAACTAAAAAGTCACTCGCCCAGGCTCCCCTACAGCCTTGGCCAAAGAGGAATTGTTGGGAAGATAGCCTTATTTCCAAACAGAAGGCAAAGGCCATTATGTGAAGAAAGTCTTTGCCTTTCCTGGCACATGGACAGAGGCCAGCAAAACTGTGATGACAGCACAAGAAGAAGCACTAGAATATACTAAGATGACACTGCCAGACAGCTGTGCAACTTCTTATGCAAGAAACACAGAACCACATTTCCTTAAGCCTCAATTTGTTGGGTTTCCTATTATTTGTACCCAACTTGTTCCTCACTGTTTTATCTCAGCTTCACAACTGTGCTATGTAGATGTCTACCCCTCTTACAGATGAGGAAGTAACCCACAGTGACAGAGCAGGGATGGAAACCTGTATCAGTCAGAACCCTGTAACATAGCCACCTCCCATTAAACAGTCCAAAGCCTGACTCTCAGCTCTGGGTTAAGGCCCAGGCTGGTGGGAAGGCAGCCTTGTCCTGATCCATCCCCAGGCCTTACCTTTCTCAATCATTTCCTTTGTCTGAGTGTGAGGCATCTTGATAAACATACTCCCGAAGCAAACCATCACATCTTCTGAAATAGCAAATGATCATTTCTTCAACAAGAATGTTTTTGAACACTTACTATCTGCCAGGCGCTGTTTCAGATGTTGAGAACATAACAGAACAAGACAATCTCTGCCCTCATGTTATACTGAAGGACAGGGAATAAACAAACATATGATTTGTCAGATCTTGAGAAGAGCTGTAGAGAAAAGTAAAGCTGGGGAAGGGGGATAGGGAATGCTAGAGGAGGTAAGAAACTCATACCAGGTAGTCTGAGACCTTACTGATCATGTGACATCTGGGCAGAGAACTGAAGAAAGTGAGGGTGTGAGCCCTGCAGACATCTGGGGAAGATGGAGCCAGGCAGAGGAAATGGGAACAGGAAAGTTCCAAAGTGTGCTTGGGTATCAAGAACAACCAAGAGACCAAAGTGGGTCAATGCATGAAGGGATGAAGAGAGGGAGCGATATTATTAGAGAGCTCATGGGGGCTGGGTTACATGGAGTCCTGCAGGACAATTCGAGATTTTACTCAGATGAAATAAGTGGAAGGTTTACACATGCCAGTGCACTTTAAACACAAATATCTTCCCTTGGCCCCCAAGGCCCTTGATTACGGCCTGATTGCAGCTCATCTCTCCAAGCCCATCTCACATTCCATCCTAGCTCTTGCTGTTTACTCTGCCACAACCATCAGCCCCTAAAGAGCCCCATTCCTTCCTTCCTCCTGGACATTCTCAACACCCACCCATGTCCAATCCATCTTCAGCTTTCTCACAATTTTCTAATTATGTACTTTATGCTATTTTTCTCATTTATACAGTACAAGGTAGACTGTCATTTTTATATACTGCCAGCACTCTTCAGTATCTGTCACTGTCAGTGAGTCAGGAGGTAATGGCCTATCACTCAAGTGAGCAGCTAGGATCTAAACCCACAGTTTATTTCAGACCTGCAACATTTGGTCCCTCACCTCCACAAGCTGTTTTGGTTTCCTAGGAGGCTGAGTCACATTTGTGGTCTCCTGCTTAGTCTCTATCAGGAACAACAAAGGTCTTCAAAGGAAGACTAAACAGGCCTCCAGAGCTACAGTGAGGAAGTCTCAACTTACCAGAATGGCTGAGATCCTTCTGTAAGGCCCTCAGACCCTCTCGGTTCTGATTCCTTTTGGTGTCTAGATCCACAATCTGAAAAGAGGAACAGATGAGAACTCAGCTACCTTTTTCTCCAACCTGTATCACTCAAAAGACAAGGGGCTGAGGAGACAAGGCCTCATTCCTGTGTTACTTCCAGTGTTCTACCTAACAAGGACTGATGTGTGAATGTATTTCTTCCCTCACTCAGCTTCCAGGTTCTCAAAGACAACACTTGTACAGTAGACTTCCTCCAGAGAAGGTGCTGAGAAAATGTTTGCTGACTAAATGAGTAATTTTGTATTATCTTCTCAAACTTGAGGACTTATCAGAATCACCATGGATGCTGTGAGCAAGTAGTCCTAAGAACCTCAATTTCTGGACAAGCTTTTCTAGCTAGTTTTGTCTTAGTATCATAAGAAATCCAACAATGCTAGGCTGGCAGAGCAGTGGTGGGGATGCCACCATGATAGCTACTCAGGAAGTGGAGGCAGTATGGAATACCACTTGAGAGTGCTGCCTGTGGAACTAGAACAACAGCTTGGATTCCTGCTGCCCGCCAGGAGCTGTGGAACACTACCCTCTTATTTACTCTTCTGAAAAATGGAGATATAAACAGGACCTACCTTATAGGTTACTGAGCAAGGAACTAGATGAGTTAACAGTACCTGATATGATAGTACCTGATAAGCTTTTTTTCTCTCTCTTCTCCTTCTTCCTCTCCTCCCCTCCCCTCCTCTCCTCTCTCTCCCTCTCTCCTCTCTTTCTTTCTCCTTTTGGTGTTTTGAGACAAGGTCTTGCTATGCAGCCTAGGCTAGTCTCAAACTCCTCCGCCTCCCGAGTGATGGGCTTAGCATGCCTGGTTACCTGATAAGCTTTAAATGCTGTTAGTCTTCTCCTTTGACACACCTTGATACAGTATTTAATGTGATAGATGCGCTGGGTGCCCACTGGCTCATGTCTATACTCATAGCTACTTGGGAGACTGATATAGGGAGGATCACAGTTTGAGGCCAGCCCATGGAAATAGCTCACAAGACCCCCTCCTCCCCCCCACCTCCAAAATAACCAGAGCAAATTGGACTGGAAGTGGAGCTTACGCAGCACAGAGCCTACTTTGCAAGTGTGAAGCCCTGAGTTCCAACCCCAGTCCCACCAAAAACAAAAACAGAAGCTTCCCCCAACCTTCCCCACTACCCAAACCTTCCCAATGGAGACAAGACAGAGTTATCGGGTTCCCTCGCCCCTTTTTACAATCATTACCACCGCCTACTGAATCCATCTCCAAAATATGTTTCCTGCCCATTCACTTCTCTCCATCAACAACACATGGTCCTAATCCATTTCCGAGTCTGGACTGGCAATGGCCCCTTGTCTCTTTCCTTCCAACCACCCCCACCCTATATTCTCTACTCCACGGAACATCCAGAAGAATCCTTTTCAAATCTAAATCCAATTATATCACCTCTCCCCCCCAACACTCCTCCAAAGACTTGGCCCTTAAGTTAGCACCAGACTCAAACTCCCTGTGCAGGTCTACAAAGCCCTCCATAACCAGGGTCCCACCTTCTCCTCCGTCCTCACCCAGCCCAGTCACGGGCCCCTTAGGTCTCTGTATTGTACCAATCAAGAGGTCCGGAATTGCATTTCGAACCGAGTGTCAGAGCAACCGCCCAGAGGGACCAAGGGCAGCGGAAGGATGACAAGGGAATGCCCCGACACATAGCAGACGCTCACTTGATATATAAACACGGGAGCCGAGTTATCTCACAAGCTCCCACGTCTGTCGTCTCCCAGCCTTTAGGCCGCCACGGCGCCCCGGTCAACTCACTGCGACCCCGCACAACGGCGCGAACAGGCCTCTCACCTGCCGCTTGTCCGCCAGCACATCCTCGGCAAGCTCCTCCACCTCGATTAAGTACCGCAGCACCCGCTCCGCCTCCGGTGACAGCATGGCGATTGCCAACGCAACGGGGTCTGGGACTGCGACGCTGCAGGACTCAAACTCTGCAGGGAAACGCTTTGGCTCCCTCTGCGCACGCGCCACACGGAGAGGGCTTCCGGCGCGCCTGCGCAATGAAAACAACGGCGTCGCGCACGCTCCAGCGCACGCGCGTCAGCAGGACGCCGGAGACAGGGCGTAGCTTTGGGGGCGGGGCAGGAGCGACCCCTACAGGCGTAGAGGGCGCAGCCTGAGGCTCTGTATCTTACCTTTCCCTTCCTTCATATAGTTCTTGAACACGTACTATGTGTGCAATTTTAGGATGCAATAGCAGCGTACAAAGCAACATCTCTTGGAACGTCATCCTAGTAGGAAACATCGACAATGACAAAGTAATTGCAAGTCATGGGAGGTAGCGATAAGGCCTTTGGCAATACAGAAATCATTCTTCCCCTTTTCACTGTTTCTCCTGGAAGGACTGGAAAGAAAGCAGTAACCATTTTAAATTTCGTCTGAATACAGCCTTCATTTAGCTCCTTTATTGAGCCAGTTGTCCAGAGTAGATAACAGAGTCCTACAGAAGGAACTAGGTAACTCCTGGTAATGAGCAATGCAGTACCAGCTTAGAAAAGCAGTGCTGTAAGAGCTAAAAAAGGAAGGTGTGGGCCATAGCATCCGGGAGGACTTCCCAGAGGAGGCAGGCGGAGGGGACGTGGCCACCCAGAAGAACCAAAGTCCCCTAGAAGACTTCTTGCTCAAACTCCTCACTATATAGCTGCAAAGCCCCAGGCTCAGAGGACTTCCTGCCTCCCTGATGCCACTTTTTATTCTCTTCTTTTAACTCCTGGTAACTTAGCCCTTCCACACTCTTTACCTTACCTGAATTTCACGGTATAGATATGATCATTATTGCTCCATTTCATAGCTGCAGACTGAGGCCAGAAGGGCAGGTTCTTGTCACACAGCAAGTCAGACACAAATCGGGGTCTGGAGGTACTCTAGTCTCCATCCCACAGCTGACTCTGTGCCCTCCCCCAAACCATCTCCCCAGAATCCCCAGCAGCTTCTCCTCTTTGCCTGACCTTGGGCTGCCTTCAACTCCCAGAGGCAGAGTTAGTTCTCTCTGCAGCCGCCTGGCTTGGGGAGGGAGGGAGATTCATTAAGAATTCCTCATGGACGGTGAATTTGTCACCAAACCCAGGATGTTTTGTGTAAACACCTTCTGGTTCAGAAATGCAGACATGGGCCCTGTGAAGGAAATAGGGACTTTTACCAGAGGAGAAATGAGCCTTAGCAGGCATTCCCTGGGGACTGGAACCCAGCCCTGGGTCTCTTCCACCTTGGGGCCCAAAGAGGGCTGGTCAGGCTGACCCCTGACCCTGCCATGTGGACCTGGATGGGAAGGGATTATGGGCGGTTCCCACATTAGCAGTTTCTTGGCTGTGACAGACCTATAGAGGCCACCCCTGACCACTGGAAATTGGGGAGAGGACTTACAGTTAGATCCAAGATTCAAGATGGTCAGACTTGGAAGGGCTCTTGGAGATCACTCATGTTTTAGCACCACTTATTTCACCAAAATGAATTGACTTCCGAGGCTGTGTGATAGGGCATCCACCATGAGCAAAACTGGACATGGCACCTGTCCTTGAGGGTTCCCAGGCTAGTGGGTCAGGCAATCAACATATAAAGGCGTGAATATGTCTTAAACAGGTATTTATAAGTGCAAAGAGGAAACAGCAAGGCAAGGTGGAGGGGGAATGATGCAGAGACTGTTTGAGATAAGGTGGTCAGGGAGGGCTTCTTTGAGGAGGTGGCGTTGGAGCAGAGGTGTGGAGGAGTTGAGAGGGTGAGCCATGTGGGGAACAGCATTGTAGGCAGAGGGAAGAGCAAGTGCGAAGGCTTGAGTTGAACTTTGTTTGGCAAGTTGGAGGAACAGTGAGGCCAGTGCAGGTGGAACAGAATGAGTGAAGGGGAGAGGGTAGGAGATGAGGTCAGAAAGTGGAAGAAAGGGCTGTCAGAGCCCCATCCAAATGGACAAGGCTGGCACTGGAGATACCCCCCACAGTCCCTGCTGCACAGGCCTGTGGCTTCTGCTTGTTTCTGCTCACTGAGGCAGGGTAAATGGAGAATGCCAGCAAGTTCTGGCCTGCAGGAGTGAACCCTTCCCAAGAAGAGAGAGGAATTAATGGCTGAGTCTCCCAGCACCTTTGCCCCTCTGTGGGAGACCCAAGAGGAGGCTGCTGCAATCATCCAGACAAAAGGAAGATCACTGGACTCTGTGCTAGCAGGGGGTGGGGACTCATAGTGGTATCCTCAGTGCCTTTGCACACACTCCTCAGTCGGCCTGGATTAATTTTCTCCCATGTACAACTCTTATATGTTCCCGACATCTCAAGAGCCCCTTCTAGGCCCCGTGACATCCTGATCTCTGCACTCAACCACATCGTCATTTTTCTTTACATGTTCCCCTTTCCAGGTCTGAACTCCTCAGGACAGAGACCTGGCATGCTGTTCACTGGTATATCTCCAGAACCAAGATAGTACCTTGCATCCTGTAACTCTCAGTCAGTGTCTATGGAATGAATGAGTGGCCTTTCTAAACCCTGATGTGTGCAAAGATGCATAGAACTAACCCAGAGCTCCAATTGCAAGAGGCAGGCAGGTAAGTCGAGGCTGGACAGCACATGGATGGGATAATCCAGAGGTGACTTCATCTCTGGGTGGGTAGTTCTTCAATCTTTCTAACCAAAAATCCTCCACCTGGTCGCATGGGGTATGTCCCCAGCTTTAGTCACCCCAATCCAACGATGTGGCTCCTGGATGTTTGGGGCCTGCAGACAATGGGAACAAAGACAGTGGTCCCGCCTGTTCCCTCTTGGGTATATTTTTTCCACCTGCATCTCCCTGGAAGGATGGCCCTCAGGCTACTAGAGGCTCCTCCTCTGCTCAGAGGCACGGAGGCCCATCTTTCTGAGGGTGGGGGGTGGAGGGTGTTGGATAGCGCCAAGGTGCTGCTTACACAGGCGTTCCCCTGCAGGATCAGGCTGAAGCAGCCATCCATGCTATTTTGGCTGAAACTACAACCTGCTGGGCCACCTCTCTTTCCCTACCCTGCCTCCCCAACTCCTTTCTAATCAACCCTCTCCAAAGCTCCCATCTCCTTCCTCACATGTACGGCCCACAGAACCCTACATGACCTGTCCTACCTCTCTCTGAGTCCCCTGTCATCTCCTTGCTCTTCCTCAAACAAGCCAGGCATGTCCTGTCTCAGGGCCTTTGCACTGGCTGCCCCTCTGCCTGAACTTTCCTGACATCTACATGGCTCATGGCTCTCTCTCTCTCTCTCTCTCTCTCTCTCTCTCTTACCTTCTGCATCTCACCTTCTCTGTGCAATCTTTAAAAATGCAATCCTGGCCTCTCCCTGTAATCTTACTCAGCCTTCTCTGCTCTACTTGTCCTTATTTTCACAGCTTCTGTCACTTTCCAGCATGCTGCAAACTTGATTACTTATTAATGGTCTATTGTTAATCTCCCTCTGCTACAAAGGATGCTCCATGAGGACAGGAATCTTTTTTTTTTTTCAGAAATCTTTCTCATTTGTTCACTAATGTATCCTAACTGCCTAAAACAGTGCCTAGCCCATAGTAGATGCTCAACAGACTTTTATTTTTTCAGTACTGGGACTTGAACTCAGGTCCTAATACCTTGAGCCACTCCACCAGCCCTTTTATGTGATGGGGTTTTTTTTGAAATAGGGTCTCACAAACTATTTGCCTGGGCTGGCTTTGAACCTGTGAGCCTTCTGATCTCTGCTTCCTGAGTAGCTAAGATTACAGGCAGGAGCCACCGGCATCCATCCAGCTCAAGAGACATTTTTGAATGAATGAGTGAGGCGATGAGCCAGAACTAGAACGAAGGTGGATCCTCTCCGAGGCCAGGCTCCTCATCTCATGCTGGGATGCTGGAGTTGGGAACAGGGAACAACACCTCATGCCAGGTGTTGTCTATGAAAATAGGGGTCTTGAGGCTGTTCTCAGCTTAGTGGAAAGCTGTGGGAAGGTTTTGAGCAAGCCTAAGGCATGATGGGGTTTGCCTGTGAGAGCCCCTCTGGCTCTGGAGGGAGGATGATCTGAGAGGAGCAAGTGGTCACTGTCCTCTGGGCTGTGTAAGTACATGTGGGGGGTGGGAGGGTGGTACTGGAGGCTTGGAGGTGACCAGGCTGCAGCTGCACTGGACAGGGAGAGCACAAGAGAACAGCTCAGGATCTTAATTACCCAGGGAACCTGGGTCGCTGCTCTACCAGCTCCGGCCTGTGAGTGGTCCAGGAGGCCACGCCTCTGCTCCTGTCCTACAGATGCTGTGTGCTTGCCTGGGTGGTCCCCAGCTCCTCCCTCCACTTCCCCTGTGGGCTTGGCAGATGGAAAGGAGGCCTCTCTCCTTCTCCTCCTCCTCCCCTGACCCAGAGAATAATCCCTCACATTCATGGGATTCACCTTCTGCCCCCACTTCATCCTCCCACATCCTGGGTAAGGCAGAAATCGGATTCCCATTGGACAGATGAGGACTTTGAGGCCAAGAAAGGGTACAGGAGCCTCCCAAGGTCATGCAGCCAGATGGGGACACCAAATGGGGACATGTCTCCAATTCCCCATGCCTAGATTTTCACCCTGCAACAGATGGCCCCATGGCTTGACTAGAAAAATCTTAAATGACCCAAAAGAAAGTACAAGCCCAGAATAGTCCAAGCTTCCTGGAGCTGGGCTTTCCTATTGCCTCCAACCCGAAATCTACTCGTTATATTCCATAAGTAGATTCTTCTTATAGAAAATGAAAATAGTGCCAGGCATAGTCGCATCACACAGGAGGCTGAGGCAGGAGGATCATGAGTTCAAGGCCAGCCTGGGCTACACAGAGAGACCTGTAAGGAAGGAAGGAAATGAAAATATTACAGAAAAAAACCAATGCACCTTTTTTTCTTTTCCTTCCTTCCTTCCTTTCTTTCTTTCTTGTAATTTGACGGTACTAGGGTTTGAACTTGGGTCCCAGGCTTGCTAGGCAGGTGCTCTACCACTTAAGCCAC